AAGGAGGGACCTTCATTATGTAAATTGTATGCGAAATTTAAATAATCATCTGCAATTTAAATGCACAACAACACTTTTGAGTGGAGGCTCGACAATTAATCGTTGGGAAACCCGCTGCCACTGCCACTGCCACTGCCCGTTGGCACCCCGTCTATATCTTCATAAAATATGCCAAATGTGCGCCTTATGTTCATTTTCTATTTTAAGACAGATAATATATATCGCCTGGCTGTTGGCATTAACTGCCAACGCAAATTTATATGTCTGTGTGTTGGCCATAAATAATTATTCATATTTGTACGAAATACACACAAAATTTAATTAAAAAATTGTTTGGCTGGAAAGCTGTGAGTTGGGATGATCATCTCCATTTTCATTTTCATTTTCATTGGCATATAATATTCTTCATTGTTTTTAGACATTTCCTTACACTTGTTTCCGCCCCACTCTACACTATTTATTTGTTAACAAAGAAGAGAGAAGGGGGGCTGCCGAAATGCCATTGCCATTTTGGCTCATAATAAAATTAAAACGAAATGAAACGAGATGAAAAAGTAATAAAGTCCTTATGGAAAATGCCAGCCAAGATGGGCAAAAGCTTCTGTTTCGCTTTCTGTTTCTGTTTCAGTTATTGCTACAAGTTCTTCTTCTGTTTTTTGGCTTTTGCTTACATTCCTGTTTCTGCCACAGTTTCTGCCATGTTGGGTAGACGAGAGGTTGGCAGGATAATGATAAATAAAGGGGGCGCGATGGCCAAAGGACGAAGGACCAGCCAACCCTTCAATGTACACCCAGTAAATATTATTAAAATGATACGGAGGATATTCGAATTAATGAAATACAAGCTAAAGAGGAATGGTATATTTGAAATGATATTATAATTCTACTCTAGAATTAAGATTTGATTTCTGATTTCATATCAAATTATTTTGAAACTCTTATTATTTGAAAGGAAAGGATTATTTTGAAAGGATATTCTTAGAGTCTATTATTCTTTGGAAGATATCTCTCCGACACCCATTAATAATTGTTTGTTGCTAGTTGATGCGGCACTGGCTTCTGCTTGTCTTTGGGCTTTTGTACACAAATTTTTGAAATGCCGAACTAAGGACTTGTAAGCGTGTCCTTCACTCTCAGTCATTTTTTGTTGATTCCGTCTGAGTTTGTGGGGTATTTCCCCCCTTTTTGGTTGCCAGGATTGAGTGCGGATTTTAGACGGGTCTACTCCGGGTGCGGAGCTCTTGGGTTTGGGTTTGGGTTTAGGTTACGGTCTGTCTGCTGCTGCCTGCGCATAATTAAGCTGGAATCGCACTCCATTGTGAAATATACTTGGCCATTGCATTTAAGTGTTTTGCTCGTAAAAGATACGAAATGAGTGCTGGAGTATAAAGTAAATTGGTATGGGAGGCCAGACAGTGAATTCATTAAACCATTAGACAGACTCCGGCCCCAATGAAGGCGATTAACGAAAGATGCTTTCCGGCACTGAGTTGGGATCTGTGCCTGCGCCTGGCTCCCATCCAAACTCCTCAAATCAAACGGAAATCAAAACCCAAACAAGTAAATCAACCAAATCCAAAGCAACAGACAGCCTTCGGTCTGCTTCCACAGACTGCCAAAGGGGGCGGACAGTTGAAAATTGGGGCGTAACCTACACATACACATATACGCACAGCATGCGTCATCGGAAAATTGTTGCAATTACGTCGTAGTAAGGATCCAACAAAGTTGGGAAAGAGAAAAAAGGGGAAGTTGGGCCAGGAATTTCCATAAACACAATGGCGAAATGATGCCCTCAAACCATTGAAATTGAAATCGCCCCCGGTTGCATGGCTTTCAGGGACTCGATGGTTAGGAAGGCTTCTCCAACACAGTATACACTTATAAATAAGGGGCATTTTTGATGGGGTTCTGAAAGGTTTTAAAGAATTTTATCACAAAAGTACACAAAATATCCTCAAAAGAAAATATTCCTTTTTAAAAGGAACATTTTCTTTTTAATTTTAAATGTTTATTAAAATCAGAAAATCAGAAAGTTTTAATCAAAAACTATTTACTTGTATCTTTTTTTTAAGTTTTTCTTACAGTACAGTTTGAGAACCACTGGCTTTGGCAGAAAAGTGCCCATCCACCCGACAAGAGCTGTTGCTACGGTAAATATGGGCGTCTGCCACTACACCCCTGATTTTGGTGGCAGGGTGGATAAGGGGGCGTGCCAAGGGGTGCATATATTTGCGTGATTTACGAGCCGTCTCATATAGGCCAACGAATGTGATGACGATGGCTGTGACCAAAAGCCGGGATCAAAAAGATCTCCTGACAGACAGACGGACGTGACACGAAAATAATGCATAGAAATGCCCGGAGGATATAGCTTGTCATGCGGCCAAATCATGAGATTATTAAAAGTGTGTGAAATATGCATAATAAATGATTCCGTATGTGGCATATTTTATAAATTAAAACTCCCATTTTTCATATAATAAATTCTATTCAGTTTGTGAGATATATTGACAATTTCCATCCAATACATTAAGTTCTAACTTCTTGAAAAGTGTGGGGATAAATTTTTTTCATAAAAATACAAGTTGGAAGAAGTACTAGAACCATCGGACAATCCCCAAAAAGTTGTTTTCTTTGTTTGCTGTTTTATTTCCGTGGCAATGTGATTGGCCCATCTCTATTTGCGTTATGGTTTGACACACAATGGCACAATGTTGTCAACGCAATCAGCAGCCCACAGCAGTTGTTGCTACTCATGTTGTTCGCCTACTTGCTGCTCTGTCCTGCCCTGCCACGCCTCCTAGCTCCCTAGTTAGTTGCAAAGCCAAAAGTGTATGGGGCAAGTGGACAGAGGATAGTCGAAGGCGAAGCTTCCGAGATGAATGAATGCGTCATGCTGGATGGGTGGGTGGTGTTCTGTTCCTCCATTGTGGGCGTTTTGGACGGTTGGCTGACTGGATGGTTGGGTATTTGGGTGGTGCAAGTGGGTTACGAGTTTCAAATTGAATTGTTGGCAACACGTGACCAGGCGGACGCCTGTCGAGCCAGCCCCTGTCAATAAAGTCAGAGTGAATGACAGGCTTACAAACAGTCTACAAGTGGCAACTGCGGCCCATTGCCTCTCACATCGCCTTGATGAATGGCATATTAAAAACCTTATAACAAAATGCTTCCACTTTTTTTGTGGTTTTTTTTTTTTTATTTTGGCTTTGTGCTCCTTTGCCTGGTTTCCAGTTGAGTTTTAGGGTTTGGTTTTTGGGTTTTGTGTCCCGGGGTTGACCGACCAGCGAAACGCAAAATGTAATTTGCGTAAAATGAGTGCGAAATTCTGCGGGTGGAGAGCTCAGCTAGTTGATGTCTGGTTGAGTTAAGGGCCAGCGGTTTGCTATTCCCACCAAATTGTTTGCATTGAGGGAAAATTTCCTATTATATATTTGATTTCCAAAATGAATTAACTTCGGTTTTAAGGGTATACATTTAAAGATTTAGAGTTTTTAAAATAAATATGTCTTTTAAACTATGCTTTAGGTATAATCATTGTTTGAAAGAACTGGTATGGATTAGACTTTAAGGTTTTTTGAAACTAGTAACAAAGGACATTTTTGAAAGAAGGGTGTTTTTTAAAAAGAGTTTCTTGTGCGAAAAGATCTTAATTTTGCACAGAAATATGGATTATGGATTCCATTTTTTAGCTTTCCTTAAAATCTATTATTTAAAAAAAATGTAAATAAAAATTAAACATACATAAGAGGTTCTTGTTTTTCTGTGTGCACTCACCCTGAACACATTTGTCGAGTGCCTGGCGCAATCAATTCCCAAATCGCATTATGCCCCTGCCAGAAGTGAGGAGTAGACCAGACCAGTTTCCCGGCCAGAGCTTCGTCTCGGGCAAATTGCTTGGTGGCTTTTGCAGCAGCCAAGCTAGGAAAATCGGTAGATGGTGGTATCGAGGGGAGTACTGGATGGGGTGCTGTATCAAAAGTAGGAGGACCGCACCATCGGCATCCTTCACAGCATTTGGCATTTTATGTGCGTCAACATCAGCAAGTCGCCAAGTGCATTGCGTGCCAAATAGTTTACGTGTCAGTGGCGACAAGAGATCGCCTTCCTTCTGGTGGTTTGGCGGATGCTTTCTGGGTGCCTTGGGTGGCTGGGGGTGGGGGGCGGTTCGAGTGGTGCAATTGCCTCACAGCGATGTTGTGGAATTTGAGGTAGTGACTGCCTCTGCTCCTGGCAGATGCATCCTAGTCTCCTACTTTATGGCTTTTTGTTGCCCAGCCAGTCATCTGTATTTTGCATTGTCCACACGCCAATTTCATTCAGCATACAAATGCGAAATATCGAAGCCTTAAGTCCTTTTGGACATTGTTGTTGGCAGTGCCACAAAATCGTAGGCGAATGGCTAAAAGCACTTTGTTGCAGCTGCAAACAGCGAAATTGCAGAAATGAAATGGAAGTTGCAGCCACAGCAGTTATGATTATTTGATTAGTTTGTTTTCAGCCACAAACTAAGGATAAAGTTGGGGGGGGTTGGCAACCCATTATAAAGTTTAATTAGTACTTCAGCCATCTTGATGTTCTATTTATAATCAATAAATAATTTATAATTGAATGATTTTCGTATTTGTATTTAATAAATGTGCAAAAATAATTTCCAATACTGTTTACTGTTTAAACAAATGTTTAAGCTTATATTGCAGGTGTGTTTCGTCATACATTCGAGTTCCTATGCTTTTGTTAAAACATCTCTCCAAACAAAATAACCTTAAATATAGAGTTTCGGTTTGCATATGGTACACGCGATACCCAAAGTAAATAAACAATACGGACATTTGCCCTTGAACTGGAGCAGACTTTTCGGATCGTATGGTTATTATAATTCAATAAATTGTAATCATCAGGGGTTATGTTTACTCAATGCTGGTTACTATTTTTAACTACTGCTTTTTTGTTGGATTAATTGACTATAAAATGGGATAGCAGCGCCAAGGAGGGCATCAGTCAGTGGTTAAGTGATCTGAAGAAAACATGAAGTTGGCTCTAGGAATTGTGATCGGTAATATAATCGTGATATTATAGCTCCTTTCCTTTTTTGCTTAATATCCACTTCCAACAGCTTGCGTTTTGGTGATCTCTGGCTCGGGATCCCCAACCTATGACTGTGGATGTCCTACTCCTACCCCACCACCTTGCGAGCCTCCAACTACCACCACAACCACTCAAGCTCCTTGTGAGCCTCCAACCACTACGGCACCTCCTTGCGAGCCTCCAACTGTCAAGAGTACAACTACAACAACTACTCGCAAACCAACAACAACCACCAAGACAACAACAACCACTCGCAAACCAACAACAACCACGACAACGACAACAACCACTCCCAAGCCAACAACCACCACGACTACAACAACTACTCCCAAACCAACAACAACCACGAAGTCAACAACAACCACGACAACAACAACCACGACGACCACAACAACGACAACAACTCCCAGGCCAACAACCACCAAGTCAACAACAACCACTCCCAAGCCAACATCCACTCACAGGCCAACCAAATCTACCAGGCCTACAAAATCCACTCACAAGCCAACCAAATCTACCAGGCCTACAAAATCCACTCGCAAGACAACAACCACTAAGAAACCCATTCGCACGACAACAACGACTAAGAAACCCATTCGCACGACAACAACAACTAGGAAACCCACTCCCAAACCATGTGGTTGCCAACCTTGTGGACCCGGTGGTAAGACCTGCGACGGCTGTGAAGATCGTGATAATTTGTGCAGGAATATCCTGGGTATGATCAAGAATCTGGAGCGCCAGGTCAGGCAGTGTGTTTGCGGTGAGCCTAAATGGATGATGCAATAAAATAAAAAAAAAAATGGGCTCGAGGAAACCAAAGGCTAGAGAGAGAAATGGATATTCTGAACTAGGAAAATGAACTGATCACCGAAACGTATTTTAATATTTGTTATATTATATTGTTATTAAATAAAACATTTCATTGCTGCATAAAACTAAATTCTTTCTATTAATATTGTGAGCTAAGCATTGAACTTTCGTTTCCCTTGATAGAAACTTCAAGAACCTCCCAAGATGCATCATCGTTGAGTGTCACATCATCATCATCATTGACATCTATTCCCCGACATTTGTAAGCCCTTCTCTCACGGCCCGTCTATATCCGTCTCCCTATTCATTCCTGTCGCCTTTCGTAAGCGTGCACGTTTTATAATTCATTTGCAGTTCCTTCAACAATTTCGTGAATATTTCATTTGGTTTCGTGTGGAACAATTTTTACAGCTCGTTTGTCACTTTTCCACCTACAGTTCCCTATATCCTAAAACCCAATCCTTCCCCCCCTTTTCGCATCCAACCCAGAGCTACCCGCAATCCGCATGGAGAAGTGCATGAATAATGCAGTGATCCGATCTGTGGGTGGAAATCTGTCAGAGATACACCTTCACTCAACTCTATTCAAATATATGCATACTTATGCATCCGTCAGATACATTTGAATTGACTTCGGTTTAGAGAATGACAAGAAGCGAAGGCGATTAGCTAATTGACTAATGCTAATAGTATTCATTAGGAGGGACTTGTACTGCATGGTCCTGCGAGGTGTATTGTCCTTTCATAATCTATCAATTAATTTCGATTTCTATCATGATTCTAGGTGAGCGTTGGGAATGTCAGTTGTCATAGAATTTAATCGAGACTAACCCCAATTTTTGTGTCTGCCTCCCAATCAGGATTCCTAATCCCACCTATGAGATAACCATGTTCTTACAAGGGGCACCACAACTTTGACTTCTTTCCTTATTGGGCTGCAACCATAAAGGCAGAAGTATCCAATCATCTGCAGATTATTTCTCAGCAAACGGAAAAACCTGTGATTTCAGATCCAATAAGAGTTGCACATGTAGCTGCTGTAACATTTGCAGTTGCAGGTGCAGTTGCAGTTGCACAATTCCAGATTCAGGCAGTCTATCAAATTGAGCCTCTTTCAAGATTTTTGGCCTGTCCTTTGTCGCCTTTTGGGAAACGTTTTTATCCCAACCTCTAATGAAGAATACACTTTAAGAAATTAAAATTAATATTCATTTTATTTTCTTCTTTTGATTATAAAATGACAATATTTTATAAAAATACTTAGACTATGACATTTTTAAAAACTCTTAGCTCGAAGGGTTTGCTAAACTCTAAGTTTTCCAAGTCATCTCCACCGACTTCTACTTATAGACGTCCCAAAGTTAATGCCCACATTTTCTGGCCTCTTCTCTTGGCCAAGTCCTCACCTATGGTTTTGGGCCTCATGTTTTATGCATGTGACTAGAAATTTTGCTGGCGAGGCTGGCGGGCCAAAAACCTCGAACAAATGTCGATGACTGTCAACGCAACTTCGATGCCTAGACAATGTAACTCAAAACTAGACACAATGTTGCAAGTTTCAGGGGCGGACCAAGCCCGTTGCCTTGTGCAACAGAAACTGCAATGACGGAACGATTATGCCAATGGCAGGGCCATGTCTAAAGCAAACGATTTGTCACAGTGGCAATGGAGTTGCGTTGCGTTGAGTTTGCTGTTTGGGGGTAGCTGGTCGGGTTTTATTGCCAGTAAACTGAGGTAGTGTGGGCTGCAGGACCGCAAACAGTTTACCCCAAAATGTGGCACAACCAGAAGTTTCGCCATGGGAGTTGAGTGGCTGCCAAGGGATCTTACACTACAATAAAAAATAATTTCTTTATTAATAAATTAAGTAAACAAAAACCAACAGTTTTTGGCTGAATAAATAATAACTTATGAATTTTTGTAATCAATATGGCAAATGTTCGTATCAATAAAAAAATAAACAATAATTTGCTATAAATAATATTCAACCTTAAATAAATATAATACATACAAGGAGCAAAGAAACATTGAGTTTCAAAAAAGTTTCCCAAAATAGTCACCATTTTATTTTTATCAGTGCTTGTCAAACCGTATTGTGGGTGAATTTCTGTTGAGTGGCCAACCCGCTTCGATTTCAAAACTCCAGCTGCGACAACTGCTGGGGGATTCCCTTTTTCTATCTCGTACATCCCCAACCCTCTTCTGATCGTGCAACTTCAGCTCCTTTTTCCAGCTACTCGAACATGACACCAAGTCCAAAGTCGTCGTTGGCTGTTCATCCTTTTCATCCCGTTCACCTCCCTGCCCGGATATGTCCTTGCCTTCTGCCCAGCTGCAAGTGACAGTAATTGTTTTATTGACATTGATTGACATGGCAAAGTGAGAGTGGAATGGGGCTCCAGGAGAGGGCGACAAGGGAACAGCATCCAGCAGCAGCAGCAGAATCAGCAGCCAAGTCAGGCCAAAGACAAACTGCAATGCCAAATGCGAATTTCAAACCGAAATTTTTGCATCTCTTCACCCCAACATCTCTGTGTGAGAAGCTCAAAAATGAGCAAAAGATTTCAATTTCATTTTGATAGATCGCTTTTTCCATACCATTCTAGTGTACTTTTTGGCTTTTCCTTTCTCCATTTCCCAATTCTCCCCTCTCGATTTATATATGTATGTATGTATGGTGTTTTTTTTTGGCCATTGTTTACCCTTGTAAGCTGCTGATTAAACCTTGCAATGGTGCAGCTTCTTTTGGCTTTTCCTTTCGCCCGCCATTCTCCTTCAGATTTTCCAGCGAGTTTTTCCGGCAGCAGATGCTGGTCGAGGAAAAACAATACATCAATTTCTGTGTGCGCCCGGTACAATGAATGTTGTGTGCCATTGTAAGAAAGACAATTGTTTGATTTTCGATATGTTTTCAAAAAAGTGCACTGTGAAGCAATAGTAGTTATAAGATTATTATGAGTATACATTTATACTTTTTGCACTAAAAAATTTTGAAAAATCGTAAAAAAATATTTTTAATTCAAAATGAATATAATTTTCTAGATTCGAATTTCAATAGCTTTTTAAGGGCTCAACATTAAAGGTAAAAAAGGTAATATCAAATGGAATAATACAAAATTTCTTCAAGTTCTTCCTAGCCTAAAGATTTTGGTAATTCTGCTTTTGCTGCACTTTTCATTCAACTGGAGATGCGGATGCGAATGCGGATGCAAGTACGGATGCGGATTAGTCATTGAAGGACTATAAAGAACATCAATACCGAACCCAGACCTTCAACGTTATTGAAGCCAGCCGCTTTCCATATTTTTCTTCTGCTCTCCATTTCCATTTGTTGTCATGGCAGCTATGACTTTCCGGTTCGCCCTTTTCCTTATCGTCCTGCTTCAAGGATTCACTTGCCTTGCCGGTTGTTCATATTAATTATGAAAGCGCATTTGGTGAACGAGAAATTTATTTTGGCTTATATTTCGATTTGGGTTTTGTTTTTCCCCTCATTTCCTTTGCCGTTTGTCGGAGCTCTCGGGGGAGCGAGGTCAAATTGGATGTGAAATGTGATGCTTAATTAGTTTTCGTGCTGCTGCCAACGATTACAAGTACGATGATCCTGATCCCGATGATGACGCTTATAATTCCATTGGAAATAATGAAAATATAGCCATGACGTTTGCTTCTGTATCCTTACAACTCGTATATTTTTTTTGGCTTGTCCTGTAAGAGGATTGCAAAAATTGGCAAAGAGTTTTTATTGATTTCTTAGGAAATTAATACTTTCTCTGACATTTTTGTTTCATATTTATTTTTGACTTTTGTCCTAATTTAATATTTATGCAACCAAGACAAGAGGCTTTTGTAAATCTTGCGGCAGAATTTTCTATTTTTAAAAAGTTACCAAAGAAATTCATTTTTGTTTTATTTCTGCCACCCACATGCAGCTTTTTTTGCTCCTGTGTGTGGTTGTTGTGTGTTATTTAAATGTATAGTTCCTTGTGCAAAAATACTCCCTGACACACACAAGAAATGCAAAAAGAGATCTGCAGTCGACAACAACTTTGGTGAACTGATAACGGACGGCAACAGGAAATGTCGAGACCAGGCCAACAACAACCACAGCTGGAATATCCTGGCGGAGAGTAGGGGAAAAGGACTAAAATGTGTTGCATTTTGGTCAAGCTAGTGGAAGAAAAAAAATGTATGCACAAAGGGAAAAATTTAAGATATTAAATTTATAAATTAAATCATAGGTACTTTTTCCAAACGTTTTATTTAATGTTTGGGGTCGTATTAAACTTATTTTAATGAAAAGAAAACTAATTTTTGTTTAGCCTATTTCGCTCTGTGTACCAACATTCAGTGCCAACGATAAAGTTGCAGTCTGGCCCGCCATAACTTGAGTGCATAAATCTTGGCCAGGTTTTGTATGTTGGCTTAAACATCCCAGCCCCCAGTCCACCCCAGCACTAGTCCATGTCCCGCTGGCGGCCGTACACAAGGTGACATCTTTGGAGACTGGCACATTAAAGTAGCCCCAAAAACTTCACTCCACACCACTCTACTGACCAATGCCCAGACACTGCATAATAAATTGCAGCCGTAGTGTTATAAATATTCTGCTGCCCTCGAGTCCTGCGCTGCTTGCTCCGTTTCTGCTCCTGCCCGCCGGCTAGTGATTGGGATCTTAGGCAACAATTTCGCACATGTCCTTTGGATGGAGATTAAAATGGCAAAACTGAAATGCTGACACAGCTGATAGAAATGAGAAAACAATAAAAACGTAATGCAGAGACATTTTTATGTTGGTTTTTGCTTGAAAGTGAAGAATTTGGAACACTCTATAGTACTTAATTTTAAAGTAAAAAGTAGATACTTGAAGTATTTTAAACGTAGTTTTTTTTTTTTTTTATCAAAAATATAGCTTTTCTTTTTTGAAAAACTAAAATACATTTTTGAACTTATGGCTCTGAACTTTTTTATTATATTTTTCATTAAGAACTTCATTTTTTTTTTAATTTAATCAAAAGTGTTTGCTTTTTATGGTCTATGTTCTTGCTTTTGACATACCCTCCTTCTTGTGTACCATCCACTAAAAAGTGTTAAATAGAAAACAATAACAATGCAGTAGCTGTCGCTTTTCTTTGGAATACTCCACCCTCAGATTTCCACCTTGGCCAGTGGGCAAGCCCACTTGGCTTGAAGGGGCAGAGGGTTTGCCACCGTGCCACCAAATATGCGGCGACAACAATAAATTAATGCGATTTATTGCCGCGATAAGAGCGGGACAGTGAAATGCCTAGGGACTTGAAATCGGTGGAAAGGGACAATAAGGAGGGTGCGTCTCTTTTCTGCAACGTGTGTGGGCCTGGTCGGAATGTGATAGATAAGCCAAGGGGTGTTGGCCGGCTCCCAAAACCGGCCATTTCGCCAAACCCACATTTCAGGCCTCTTCGGATGGCATGCAAAAATTTGTCCCTTGAAAATTTACGATGCAGCAGTACAGAAATAATGAGGAATACGCAACTCAAACCTAAACCCAGTGGCATCTTTAGACCATCCCACCCCTAGATAAGCCAACTTACTTACCATTTAATTAGAGCCTCAATGGGCATTAGGGCAAAAATGCGGCAAAAGCAACTTCAGGCACGCCCCCTGTCTGGCGTATCAAAATGCCTTTTTAATTAAAACCCAAAAACGAAAAAAATAAGAGCAGTCTAGGAAAAACAGGAAAATTTTTAGCCGCCAAATGATGTGTGAGAAGTCGATAGAGAACGGCGGTGGCGGTGGCAAACGGGCGTTAAATCACAATCGCAAACAGGAAGTGCCTCGGCAAAAATATAAAATCTTTGGGGTTGTGGAAATCCTCGAAAACAACCGACAAGGGTGTCGGTCGGGAAAACTCAAAAACGAATAAGGTGGGGGGTGCAATGCAAAACGCTGCGGAAAATCTTGTGTGAAAATTTGTTGAGCGTGCAAACTAGCAATTTCAGTGGCCGGGGTCTTTGGTCTGGGACCCGTCTGGTCCAGAGGCAATAATTGCATGAAATGCCCAGTTATTTCAGCTGAGAGCAGCACAAATCTTTCTTACACTGAGAGAAACAAGGAAAAATAGTTTAAGCTAAAGAAAGTTCTATGTTTTTATGAAAAGTCCATTGACAAAATCCCTTTCGTTAATTTTGGCTTAAACTTAAACACCTCTCATGACTTATTTTCTTAAAGTGTATATAGAAGGGCTGAGCTAGAGGTCGCTGGTGGCTGGTTACTGCTAACTGGTCCCGTGCCAGACGCTAAGCTGCCACTAAATCACAACCAAAAGCCGCTGTTAAAACACGAGCCTGCCCCCAGAAAACTCGGCTGGTGGTTACTTGGCTGGGCTTGGATTTTTGGGTTCATGGGTCTTGGGTTTCCCTGTTTTTTTTCTTTTTGTTGCCAATAGCCTGAAATCGGTGGTTGCAACAGCCGCTGGCAGGACACGTGCAACATTCAGATACCGAGGGCTGGCTGACTGACTGACAGCAGCCACAGCATCTGCAGGAGGGAAAAAGGGAAAACCAGCAAGTCCAGGTCCTGGGACCTGGGACAGGAGCAGGCCTAGGAGAAAGAGCCAGAGGGCAAGTCGAGTAACTGACACTCCCCACAAGATTTGATTAGAGAAAGCGGAGATCGGGGTATGTTTCTTCTTATATTCAAAGCCCCTTAAACGTGCACAAAAATGATTCAATCCCAAGGGGGGAACATCTCGAGTCTATCCGGAAATAAATATATTCGATTCCGGTGGCTTTGCACCTGTTTTTCTTTTGCGTATTCAATTTTCTAGATTCTCTGCTCCTGCTTCCCTTAAATAAACACAATAAAGCCTAATTTGATTGGGTTATTCATAGTTTCACAGAGGGGATATAATTTTTTCGAATGCCATTCATTGTAAAAAAAGGGTAAAAGGCAATACCTTTTTGCTCAATAATATAATTATAGGTTTATTTATTTTTCCAGAGAAAAAGGCTATCATACCCTAAAACCTTAATGCTTATCTTTAAGTTTCTCCAATCTTCTTGAATTTAAGAGAGAATCCAAGTAGATTTAAAACTTGTATAAAGGAACTTATAGTTCGGAGACATTACGAATATCTACACCCATTTCGTCTAATCGTGTATCATCCTCAGAGTCCTCATTAGCAGAACTGTATAGTGGTTCTTGCAGAGAATTTCTTTGACGTTGTCCGACCAATGATGTTGGTTTTCTTATCTTATCGAATACCTTCTTAAAACTAACCGCCTTCTCGTTTTGATGCCCTCTGATTGGGTTAGTCCAACGCTTTATAAGATTTATGAGAACCACCACCAGAACAACGCCGATCAGTAGGAAGAGCATTACTAATGCGGGATTGGGTATGTTTTCCTTCACATCCATATGCCCAGCAATGTCATCGGGATCTACTTTCCAGGTTATTCGATTATTTGGGATAGTAACTATAGGATAAAAGATAGTTTTATTTTATAGATATTTAATAAGAATAATATTACTTACTTTTTACTGGTGTGGTTGTTGTGGCATTTATTTTCATTGTTGTTGTTTTATCTGTTGTCGTTGTTGTTTTTATAGTTGTTGGTGTGTTTTGTTTTCTTGGTGTGGGCGTTGTTGAAGTTGTTGTTCTCACTGTTGTTGTACTTGGCACTAGTTTTGTTGTAGAAGTAGAAGTTGTGGTTCTTTTTGTCGTTGTTGTGGTTTTTGTTGTTGTTGTGGGTTTTGGTGTTGTTGTAGTTGTTGTCGTAGTAGTTGGTGTTGTAGTCCTTTTTGTGGTTGTTGTTGTTGTTTTTCTAGTTGTAGTTGTGGGTTTTAGTGTTGTGGTTGTCGTTGTCGTTGTTGTTGAAGTTGATGTTGTAGTTGGTTCTATAGCTACCATAGTCGTATCGATCAAAACACATAGTTCTAAATAATCGGGACAACAATTTTCAAATTGTAGACACTCCTCACTGCAGCCACATCCTTTGATGTAGTTGCCATCCGGTCCAATGTGATCCATGCCAGGTAACATCACCTGGCCGCACCGTTTGGTGCAGTTCATCATGTCATATACCACCGGCTGTTCACTAATGGCCGACACTGGTGCCGGCGGCTCCGTTGTGGTAGTGAAGTCACCTACTCCACATTCCTGGCCCGTCATCAACTTAACATCATCGATGGCAATGTCTCCGAACCGAGATACGGCATCCGTGGCAGTGAAGATAACCACAAAGTCCGATTCCATTTCATCAATGGAGATTGTGTGCTCTATCCACTCTCTACCCTGGGAGCCAGAAATATCGAACCTCGAATATCTGTGGGTAAAACGTTGCTTTCATTATTTTGCTTAGAAATGTATAAAAATGCAAACGTAATATCCGCCCGCATCGTTAAGTGACGATATTTTGTATGCAACAATATATGAATGTTTTTAAAAAGATAAGTGTTTTTGAAATTGTTATCTTGGAGAATTCCAGAGACTTATACCATATCCGCTGGGATAAAACTCACTTGGCCTTGAATTTGCTCCACATGTCTGTGACAGAGATATTCACTGGCTTGACGGAGACCACCAGACTGCCAACTCCGGTTCCGTACATGAAGTAGTGGAACCGAAAACAGCAGGCTGTTTTTAAGCTGAGGGCTCGGGGATATACCGGCGATATGAAGTGGTAGCTCCCGTGGGCGCCAGTTTGTGTTTCCATTCGCATGTAGTGTCCGCCGGAGGCGTTACGGAAGGTGTGATCATGATGGGGACCAGTTCGTAGGGAGTGGTAATCGTGCACTGTACTGATGCGCTTCCATGGTTGCCGAAAGCCCACCTCCGCCTGCCAACCGCACTGATCCTCGCTCTCAAAGTCGCATGAGTGATCCTTGGTGTGGTTACTCGTTAAACACTCACCGAGCTGAGTGTTCCATGAATTTCCGTCGCAGTAGGTCATACGATTCCCTACCAGAACATATCCATCCTTGCACGCGATCGTGGCTCTCAGGCCGTCATAAGATAGAAGTTCCCCGTTTTCCGGTTTTTCCAATTGTGAGCATCCAGCCTCTAAAAAAGAAACATTTATTAATTTTCAGGTTATTCTTGGGAAGTTTAACAAAAATTTTAATGAAACGAATTTTAATAAAAAGTTTTATTTTTATATTTTTTTAGTAATTTTACTCTTTAAACATAAGCTGCCAAATTACTCACTTGAACAAAATATTTGTATAAATATTTGCTGGTTTTAATTGAACTTAATTAGAAAATTTATACGAAACTTACTGGCACAAAATGGTCGTCCTCCCACTAAACGACCATATTGATTACAATAGCCAACTTGACTTCCGTGCAGAATATAACCCCGTACGCAACGGTACCGAATAAAATTATTTGGTCTCGATCTCATGCTTCCATGAGGAAGACTTAAAGATCTTTCACACAACGAACTAAATGCTGTTGTCTGACCAAAACATAATATGCAAACTATAGCCAAGCAAATATTCAAAAATTCCATTATGTTTTAGGAAGCCGCTTTAGAGCTATTGTACTTTTATTTTCAAAGTATGAAAAACAACTAAATTGCAATGAAACTGGAATTTATCTTGCAATACGATTCATTCACTCTTTCCGTTTGAAGATAATACTGAGCTTATTCATATTTTTAGTTAAGAGAACCACGGAACTGAGAGAAGACTCTAATTATTTCAGTAATTTTTTAAACATTTAATAATATTTGAAGAAAGATTAGGCACTTTGAAAACTGAGATTAAACTATTCTCTTTCTTTAATATAGATTTTTTTGAAACAGTTTATTGCAAAAAGTCTCTATCTATGCGTTACTTGATTGTGAATTATTTTTGAATATTGAAAAAAAAAAATACAATGTTCTCTGTTTTTCTTTCCCCTTTTAATTAGTAGAAAAACTTACTGGCACAAAATGGTCGTTCTCCTTGTATACGACCATTTCGATCACAGACGCCCACAAAAATTCCCTGCAGGATGTAGCCCCGAGTGCACCTGAATCGAATAATATTCCTTGATCGTACTGACACGGAGCCGTGTTGCAAAACAAAAGATCTTTCACACGCGGCACTGACTCCTGGTGTCTGGCTCCTGGTTCCAAAATATAATATACAAACTATAGTCAGATACTGATTAAAAAATTCCATTTCGTCTAAGGAAGCCGCCTTAGAGCTCTTGTACTTATATCTTAAAAGAATGAAAAACAACTGAGTTGGAAAGAAACTGGAATTTATCAACGGACTCACAGTTGAACGACAATTCATTTACTCTTTCCGTTTGAAGATAACAGTGAGTTTATTCATATTAATACTTAAGAGAACCACAGAGAGAACCACGTTTTAGTAATTGTGTAATAATTTAATAATATTTGCTGAATGGAATATTACATGTTTTTTTTAGTAATCTACATGATCTGCCAATAATTCATGAAACTTACTATATACATTAAATTAAAAGTTTTGTTTATCATTATTATTATAACTTAGTTGTTAGTTGGCATATCGTTGAATTTTATACCTTCCCGATTGTATACCTTTTATACCTTAGCTGTCATACCATTTATTAGGAATAATTATCAGATCGCCGAATGTTACATCGTCAAAATTTTATATCTTCTTGCAAAATCCATCTAATTTTAGACCTCTCAAATCTTACCCGATTTTTGCTCAGTTGTAAAGACTTGTCGAAAGATGGGGAACATAAGGGTATATTTTATTAAAAAGTTCCATGTTAGTGTTAGTTACATAATTATATATTCTTTGTCGTTCATGTGGATAGGTAGGATTAAGAGGATTATAAAACTATAGAATAAAGATTACAAAATATTTTATACGAGTGGTAAAATAAAACAAAAGAAGGCACTTTCAATATTCAGGATATTCTGTATGAGCATAGATACTCTGATCTCTACATTCAGTTGATATTTCTTTCAAATTATCAAATAAATTCCAGCAATCTTTGCCAGTCAATAATGTCACATTGTCAATGGCCATATCCCATAATTTCGAACCATAGTTGTTGGCTGTAAAGGAGACCTGAAAGTCATATGTCATTTCTGGAATTATAGCAGCATCCTGAACCCACTCGCCGATTTGGGGATTCGACAACTTCCATATGCGAGGACTGTATGTTTTATTTATTTGTTTATAATGTAATTAATAATTTCAAATGCTTTAACTCACCTAGTTGATACCACCACAACTTTATTTTCGATTCTGGGAACAAGTTTCACATGCAACTCCAATTGAGGCTCACTAAAGTAATTGTTAAGTCCATAAATAAAGTATTGAAAACCGAAACAGCAAACGGACTCTGAGCTAAGTGACCTTGGATAGATGGGAGATGTCAGATCGGAGGTCGTTCTTGTACCAGTCTCCGGCTCCACTCGCATAAAGTAACCTTTCTCAAGATTTACGTATTTTTTCGAAGGAGAATTCGAGGGAAAGTTTTCCAATGTACTGACCCTCTTCCAAGGATAGGTGGCTACTTTAGACGTTGTCCAACCACACAAATCTGCACTTTCAAAGCCACAGGAATAGTCTGTTCGATTGCGTTTTTGACAATTTCCAAGCTCATTGCTCCATTGAGTAGGCTACCCCGTATCCAACCAAAATATATTCATTCTTGCACCTGACGATTGCTTTTAAATTATCGTAAATAATCAGTACTCCGTTTGGGGGCTGCTTAGGTTTCTTGCATCCAGCGTCTGAAATAAAGAGGTGTTATTTCAAATCCTATAAAATATATTATTCCATTCTTACTGCTACAGACTGGCATTATTCCTCTCAATACTCCATCAGAATTGGCAGAGAAAATCGATCTTCCTTGCAGTTCATATCCTTTATGGCATTGGAAGAGCACATGATTTCCTTTTCGCACCGTTGCATTTCCATTAGGCAAATCAGGATAATTTATACAGACTCCATTGATAAGATGTAAATCGTATAAAAACAATAGGTATAAAATCCATAAGATCCTCATGGCATCGACAATTTTCGATGTGAGCTGAAGAAAAGCGCATTAAAAACTGAGAAACTGAGAAATTCCCAAATTGGAATTTTCTTAATCAGCTGCTATATATTGCTTCTGAAGCCAGCGGAAGCTCTGATAAAAGACTTGTGGCGAATTCAAATTTACAATGTATGTGCACAAAATAACGTTTCTATAAATAATTTATTATTCAATAACAACAAAAAATATAGTATTCGTTGTATCACAATTGTTTTATAAACACATTTACCATTTTAAGGAGAAATTATAAAAGATTGTTTTATTTTGAAATTTTTTAATATTATATAATATTCATAGTTAATATTAATTTTTCGAATGATGTTGTATTAAGGATCCTCTAGTAATTGAAGCCCCAAACCCGCCAAATCCGCGCTACTGAAATTTTTTTATGTAGATTAGTGGTTAAAATTTTTTTGTGAGTTATTTAGTTACCCTGCGTTCACCTCGATCACATCAATGTCGATGTTATTCACTTGACCTTCCGCCTCAGGAATCATTAATTTTGCGCTATTATTAAAAAAATTATTCATGTTAAAAGGGTTTAATAAAAAATCACATTTTTAAATCCTTTAATTAACGATTCTTACCGAATGTAAGTCATTTGCGCTGAAATGGGATTGGTTGACATTGGCGTTGATATTTCTGTGGATCCCGTTTCCATTGGTTCCATTGGCTCTTTAATTTCCGTATTTTCCTTCGACTCGCATTCCTTAAAATAATCGTCACAACAGTTATCGTCCTGAATACAATGAACACTGCAGCCACATCCCTTGATATAGGTTCCATCAGATGCAACGTGATCCATGCCCGGGCGCATTATTTGGCCACATCGATTGGAGCAGTTCATTTTTGAGGAAGTCGATGGTTTTGATTGCCAAAACCGATTTGTAGGTGTTGGTTCTTTTTTTGGTGGGGTTTCCATTGGTATTGGCTCTTTAGTTTCCGGAATGTTCTTTGTCAGGCATTCTATAATAAAATCCTCACAACAGTTATTGTCATCAACACAATGTTCACTGCAGCCACATCCCTTAATGTAGGTGCCTTGAAGTGCAACGTGATCCATGCCCGGGTGCATTATTTGGCCACATCGGTTGAAACAGCTCATCCTTGGTGAAGTGGTATCCAATCCGATAAGTTCGCTGGCATACGTTGATTGGTTAGAAGCCTTAATCTTTGACTCCGATTCAGAGCTATTATTATCCTTAAAGTCAGTGCTCACCGTCGACGTCGTTAGTTCGAAAGTATCTGGGATATTTGGATAGTAGGTTGATTCGGTAGTATAGTCATGGCCAGAGGTTGATTCTGCCGCGGAGGGAGCCTCCGATGTGGTAATGAGATGATCAGCCATGCAACTCTGACCCGTCATTAGCTTAACGTTGTCGACTCCAACCGAACTCACTCCATTGCTCGAATATGTGAACACGATCTGAAAGTCTGTATCCATTTTATCAATAGCAATTGTTTCTACATGCCAACCGTTTTGAGATCTTGAAATTGCCATTTTACTGAAATTTCCATATCTGAAAAGTCGTTTAATATAATTTGTTATTATCTGAAAAAGAATGGACTATTCTAATTCAATTCACACTTACTTGCCGCTTTGCATATGGTCCAAGGACAAGGAGGATGGCTTAACCGAAACTACTAGAAGACCTTTTTCGTTTCCCTCTATCTTGTATCGGAAACGAAAGCAAGAGGTACTTAAGCTGAGCATACGCGGAAAGATCGGTGATTCATAGTGATAGATCTTGTCGAAAGTCATTGTAAAAAGGCTCACAAAGTAACCGTCGGAGGTGTGGTCCTTGGTTCGGTGCCAAGAATTACCGAAGGTCTCTCCCTGCCATCCGCACTGATCCTCACTCTCGAAGTCGCAGGACTGATCTTTTTTGTGGCTGCTTTCAATGCACTTGCCCAACTTGTTAGTCCAATTCTTGCCGTCACAGTATGCAAAACGAGTTCCAACCAAGACATACCCATCATTGCACATGATCACCGCCTTCTCACCGATGGGATTCATGAGGGCCCCGTTCTCCGGATTTTCTAGCTTCGAGCATCCCGACTCTGAATGGGAAACAAAATATTACTCTTTAATATAGATATCAACATCCGCTATGTTATTTATTACTATGTTATTTATCCGCTATTACTTACTGGCACAAAAAGGTAAAGGTTGATACTTTAAATCACAATAGTAATATTCATAACCCTGAATTGTATAGCCGGGATTGCATTCAAATTTAATAAAGACCTCATGGATAAAAGTTATATTTCCATTAGCTAGTTTCAAAGATAAGTCACACTTTCCCAGAGAAAGATCAATGTGGAATACAGAAATTAGTCCCAAGATAAGCCAAATTAAATCCATAGTTTCCAACGAGAGCGTCGTGTTTCTACGTACAGAATGTCTAAGCAACTGAGTGGCAAATCGCAATTTCTGATTTTTAAATTAGGTTTTAACACAAAATTTATTTTGCAGAATATGATTCATGGTTTTTCGCTCTTTTTGCTGATAAGACGAAATTAATATTCCCTTGGAAGTACAACTACCAGTGCTAGCTAGCCCCAAAAGATAATTCGGTCTAATTTTGGAATTCGTATAAAACTTTTAGTCATTATGTTTAAATAGTTTTTATTTTTGCTGTTCAGATTTCATATTTAATTGGCATTTGGAACTGGCATCTTTTCTTACTATTTAATATAATATTGGGATACTTGTCCCCCAGGTTTTCAACCAAAGAAGATATCATTCAGTGATCCCAATGGATGATAAAATCATCGTTTAGTTCCTTTTTCCGATTAAGCTGGGATTGCAATTTCATCCCGCTTTGCGGGTTGTGATGCCATTCGAATGCAATTATGCACATCTCCTGTTTGACATAGATTTCTCAGAGATGGAACTAAATGGTAGCAGCTTCTTCCTGTCGACTGCCAGCTTAAATTATGGCCTCATCCCCTGGAAGATACGTCGGAGGGTGTCCTTTCTGCCCAGTCTCTCAACCCTTGATAGCGACAGACCTTTTCCTATCGCTGGCATCGCAGTGATTTATGTTTACTTCCGCTTAAGTCTCAAACAACTCGCAATCACGGCGTTCTGCCTTCGCCCGCCCCTCGCCTGGCCGCCGTGTCGAGATAATCAGTCAATATTGACAACTACTTATTGGCACTTCCGATGAGGGGTGAGTGGGGGGCTGGGCCACGTGACCGGGGATCAGAAGTTGCCACGTGTCCGGCAACTGCAACGGAAGGTGTAGCGAATACCCATTCTCCGATTTTCCACTGGCAATTCAAATTTCATTCATAATTACAATCAGCAATGCGACGAATAAAAGGACAGAGAATTGGAACTGAAGGGATGTTTCCCATCTCAACGTCATTTTTATCAAATGGGAATGCTTATGCACATAAAAAAATAAATTGTAGAAAGTGCCCTTTTCAAATTTCATACATATTCTTAACTATTGTTATTCTTTAAATACATTTTTAATTCTATAGAAGTACCCTTTAAAATTTTTCAATGTAGTGTTAGCATTTTTATTGTACCCTCTTTCTCTGAGAAAAATGTCTGATAAGTTTTCGGCTGTTTAAATATTTGCTCATTATTATTATTATTCTTTTATTTGTGGTGCTTGCTACAGTTGCCTGTGCCGGTGGTTTTGAAACTTCAATATTTGCGCTCAAATTACGCAAACACAAGCCAACCACCATAGTTGCCTGGCAATGAGTTCTGATTCGTTTATCAGGCAGTTAAATTGCTGCCCAGGATTAGTTGGTAATGAGCAGCTGTTGCCAGGGAAGGTCCGCCGATAAGGAAACTGGTTGAAGGGCAATTTCTAAATAAAGGTTGAACTTTCTCGGAAATGGGAAACAAAATAGCCACGAAATCAAATTTAAATTTATTCTCAGAAACCTAAGTCGGGCGGAGCCAAATTTAATATAACCTTGCAGTTAAGATCGGATATTTATCGCGTATATATAGCATTATTCCACCATTCTGCATCAAAATCCTGAGACGAAATATTTTTTATATTTTTTGTCCATTTTTCATGATGGGATCCCTGAAAATGGGGTTTTTCCCCATATGGTCCACAGTGATGGCTATATCTTCCGCAGTTCTCATCCGATTCGCAAGCGGAGTACCTTAAACGATTTCTGGACTGATTAACCACCATTTTGCATCAATATCCTGAGACGAAATATTTTTTAGATTTTTTGTCCATTTATCGTGCTGGGATCCCTTGAAAATGGGGTTTTTGCCTATATGGCCCACAGCGATGGCTATATCTTTCCCAATTCTCATCCGATTCTCAAGCGGAGTACCTTAAACGATTTCTGGACTGATTTGCCACCATTCTGCATCAAAATCCTGAGACGAAATATTATTTATCTTCCCCAATTCTCGTCCGATCGAAAATGGGGTTTTTCCCCATATGGCTCACAGCGATGGCTATACCTTTTCCCAATTTTCATCCGATTCTCAAGCGGAGTACCTTAAACGATTTCTGGATTGATTTGCCACCATTCTGCATCAAAATCCTAAGACGAAACATTTTTTATATTTTTTGTCCATTTTTCGTTATGGGATCCCTTGAAAATGGGGTTTTTCCCTTTATGGCTCACAGCGATGGCTATATCTTCCCCAATTCTCATCCGATTCTCAAGCGGAGTACCTTAAACGATTTCTGGATTGATTTGCCACCATTCTGCATCAAAATCCTTAGACGAAATATTTTTTAGATTTTTTGTCTATTTTCGTGATGGGATCCCGTAAAAATGGGGTTTTTGCATATATGGCTCACAGCGATGGCTATATCTTTCTTAATTTTCATCCGATTCTCAAGCGGAGTACCTTAAACGATTTCTGGACTGATTTGCCACCATTCTGCAGCAAAATCCTAAGACGAAATATTTTTTAGATTTTTTGTCCATTTTTCATGATGGGATCCCTTAAAAATGGGGTTTTTCCCTTTATGGCTCACAGCGATGGCTATATCTTCCCCAATTCTCATCCGATTCTCAAGCGGAGTACCTTAAACGATTTCTGGATTGATTTGCCACCATTCTGCATTAAAATCCTGAGACGAAATATTTTTTAGATTTTATGTCCATTTTTCGTTATGGGATCCCTTGAAAATGGGGCTTTTCCCTATATGGCGCACAGCGATGGCTATATCTTTCCCAATTTTCATCCGATTCTCAAGCGGAGTATCTTAAACGATTTCTGGACTGATTTGCCACCATTCTGTATCAAAATCCTAAGACGAAATATTTTTTAGATTTTTTGTCTATTTTCGTGATGGGATCCCGTAAAAATGGTGTTTTTCCCTATATGGCTCACAGCGATGGCTATATCTTTCCCAATTTTCGTCCGATTCTCAAGCGGAGTACCTTAAACGATTTCTGGATTGATTTGACACCATTCTGCATCAAAATCCTGAGACGAAATAATTTTTAGATTTTTTGTCCATTTTTCGTTATGGGATCCCTTGAAAATGGGGTTTTTCCCTTTATGGCTCACAGCGATGGCTATATCTTCCCCAATTCTCATCCGATTCTCAAGCGGAGTACCTTAAACGATTTCTGGATTGATTTGCCACCATTCTGCATCAAAATCCTTAGACGAAATATTTTTTAGATTTTTTGTCTATTTTCGTGATGGGATCCCGTAAAAATGGGGTTTTTGCATATATGGCTCACAGCGATGGCTATATCTTTCTTAATTTTCATCCGATTCTCAAGCGGAGTACCTTAAACGATTTCTGGACTGATTTGCCACCATTCTGCAGCAAAATCCTAAGACGAAATATTTTTTAGATTTTTTGTACATTTTTCATGATGGGATCCCTTAAAAATGGGGTTTTTCCCTTTATGGCTCACAGCGATGGCTATATCTTCCCCAATTCTCATCCGATTCTCAAGCGGAGTACCTTAAACGATTTCTGGATTGATTTGCCACCATTCTGCATTAAAATCCTGCGACGAAATATTTTTTAGATTTTATGTCCATTTTTCGTTATGGGATCCCTTGAAAATGGGGCTTTTCCCTATATGGCGCACAGCGATGGCTATATCTTTCCCAATTTTCATCCGATTCTCAAGCGGAGTATCTTAAACGATTTCTGGACTGATTTGCCACCATTCTGCATCAAAATCCTAAGACGAAATATTTTTTAGATTTTTTGTCTATTTTCGGGATGGGATCCCGTAAAAATGGTGTTTTTCCCTATATGGCTCACAGCGATGGCTATATCTTTCCCAATTTTCATCCGATTCTCAAGCGGAGTACCTTAAACGATTTCTGGATTGATTTGCCACCATTCTGCATCAAAATCCTGAGACGAAATAATTTTTAGATTTTTTGTCCATTTTTCGTTATGGGATCCCTTGAAAATGGGGTTTTTGCCTATATGGCGCACAGCGATGGCTATATCTTCCCCAATTCTCATCCGATTCTCAAGGGGAGTACCTTAAACGATTTCTGGACTGATTTGCCACCATTCTGCATTAAAATCCTAAGACGAAATATTTTTTAGATTTTTTGTCTATTTTCGTGATGGGATCCCGTAAAAATGGGGTTTTTCCCTATATGGCTCACAGCGATGGCTATATCTTTCCCAATTTTCATCCGATTCTCAAGCGGAGTACCTTAAACGATTTCTGGATTGATTTGCCACCATTCTGCATCAAAATCCTGAGACGAAATAATTTTTAGATTTTTTGTCCATTTTTCGTTATGGGATCCCTTGAAAATGGGGTTTTTGCCTATATGGCGCACAGCGATGGCTATATCTTTCCCAATTTTCATCCGATTCTCAAGCGGAGTATCTTAAACGATTTCTGGACTGATTTGCCACCATTCTGCATCAAAATCCTAAGACGAAATATTTTTTAGATTTTTTGTCCATTTTTCATGATCCCTTGAAAATGGGGTTTTTCCCTTTATGGCTCACAGCGATGGCTATATCTTTCCCAATTCTCATCCGATTCTCAAGCGGAGTACCTTAAACGATTTCTGGATTGATTTGCCACCATTCTGCATCAAAATCCTGAGACGAAATAATTTTTAGATTTTTTGTCCATTTTTCGTTATGGGATCCCTTGAAAATGGGGTTTTTGCCTATATGGCGCACAGCGATGGCTATATCTTTCCCAATTTTCATCCGATTCTCAAGCGGAGTATCTTAAACGATTTCTGGACTGATTTGCCACCATTCTGCATCAAAATCCTAAGACGAAATATTTTTTAGATTTTTTGTCCATTTTTCATGATCCCTTGAAAATGGGGTTTTTCCCTTTATGGCCCACAGTGATGGTTATATCTTCCCCAATTCTCATCCGATTCTCAAGCGGAGTACCTTAAACGGTTTCTGGATGGGATCCCTTAAAAATGAGAAAAAAAAACACGTTAACCAAAATTATAATACCCTCTACAAGGGTATAAATAAAAACAAATAAATTGTAGTGAGAATAAATTCAGTGCACTCGTCAGATACCTCGACCTTTCGGCTGCCACATCAAAATTGGATTTGGTTGCAACTTTCTCTTCGAACTTTCGTGGGCGGAATTCGCGCCAAAACTGCCACACACGTTCGAGTTAACACGATTAATGGAGGCGCCTTCACATCTGTGGGATATTAGATGTGTGAAGTTAGGCCCAAAAGGCCAAACAGACAAAAGTTGGTTCTCCCCAGGAGTTTAGCAGGGTGGCAAGCTGCCACGAACTTCAAAGATTACGTCGATAATTAATAAAATTAAACACAAAAGCACTCGACGAGCTGGTGGGGCGTCTGCAGGCGTGCCTCTCCATTGCCAATTTTCCCGGCCGTAAAGCAACCGCAGACGGGCGAGGATTCCGGAATTTGCCTCCGGGCCTCTGACTTGGATGCTTTCGGGACCGTGCAACATTAGGCTGCCACAGGCGTGCCAAGTCGCTCCCTGGTCAGCTTCTGGTCGCATTAATTACAAACCAATGACCGCAGAATCCACACAAACAGAATGAGGGATGAGTTTTGGTGGGGTATTGGGTACTAGGGCAGTGCAGTTACTTCAACAGTGGACAGGGATCCCGATAGACCCCTTTTGAATAATGAAAACAACAACAGGCTATCATAATTTTTAAAACAAAATGTAAAGGACTTTTTTATTAATTAATTGTTATTTTAATTATTAAACAACGCCACTGTCCACGTGAAATTGATTGAAACCATACCATGAGATGGCATCTTATTATACATAATAATACGAATATAAGGTGGACTACTCATCGTGTCTTTAATTTGCGGTAATTTATGAAACTCATTATGACCGCAGGCGTGCCCTCGACCGCAATCGAGGGATTCACTTCCATGGCGATCTCTTGAAAAAGTTCCCACCACTGACTGAATGGTAGTCCGAAAGTTTTCGCGTAATTTCATTTAAAGTCCTCGAAAGTTGTTAGTGCGCTCGCCAAGTTGCAATTGTTGGTACGGATGAGGCATCAAGTTTGTGGCTGTGTCCCTGTCCTTTGGTTACGTTTGGTTTGCCTAGTTCCTGGGTGGGTGGTCCCTGTGTTTTTCCGGGGCCTAATGGCAGGCGTTCTCGCTCATTATCCTGCTGATTTTTAGCACGAGCGAATTTTCACCTACACACACATAAATGTGGCATAAATCCAATTAGGCAACACCGGCAGCGCTTTAATTGACGGCGGTTGGCGTCTACGTGCTGGATGAGCACCACCCTCGCCCAGGGATGGGTTAATAGTGGGTGGTGGTGTTGGGGTGGTGGGGCCAAGCGTACTAAATGAATTTCCATATGCTGCTTTTGTTTCTCGCATTGAGATGTGAATGGCGGCTGGTACTACGCTCGGTGTCTCTTTGAATTTATTTAGGACACCCGGCAGGACCCAGTGCTCCTGTTCTTTGACCTACATTTTTATCCAACTTTATAAAGTTATTAGAAAATAAATTCTACTATTTATAAACTTAAGTTTCCTTTTAATTTTTAATGCATATTCTTACCTTAGCACACCTGATATGTCTTCTGAAATTCCTCAACTTACCATAAATATTTATTGATTGCCGTTGAATTTTTTAATCCACTTATCCGCCTGTTAATCATCGCCATTTGATTTCAAGCTGATGGCTTTTCCAAAGGCGTTTTTCTTTCCACCCCCTCTCCCCATCCCCGTCCCTGTCAACGGCTGGCGTTTCTTACGCAAAACTGCAGCAGTGACACGAACAGGAAGCGAAACTGTGGGTGGGTTTGGGTGTTGTAGTGATGGGGCGGTCCTGCGCTTGGCACTAAATTAAAATGTCAGTGTCGTGTTACTTCCGGCGCCACCAGGGTTGCCCGCCAGGGTTGCCAGAGTGCTGCGTCGACGGCACTGCCACTTAAGTCAAATTGCATGCTATAAATTTGGTGCCAATCAACTTAAACATGGCACATTATGCAATGCCCGCAGCTGCTGTTGCTTCTTTCCGACTTCTTTGGTGGAGTTACCACCCACCTCCCATAACCCAGTACCCACCATTCACCACCCACCATTCAGTTTAACCAATTTCCCCGGGATTCGAAAAATCAAAACGCCATATATATTTAATTTAAATTCTTCTCTTTTTTTTGATGTTTTGCTTTATTTTACCTTTCTTTTTAAAACTGAATAAAAAAATATTGTATGTTTTGTTTTTGTGAACGCACATGAGTGTCAATGGGTGTTTCTTTTTTTTTTGTGGGTGAATGAGTGAGTGTTTGGCTGTGTATGTATATGCATAAATATTTTAGCTAATTTTTTATACCCTTGCAGAGGGTATTATAATTTTGTCCAAAAGTGTGCAACGCAGTGAAGGAGACATCTCCGACCCTATAAAGTATATATATTCTTGATCAGGATCACCTCCTGAGTTGATATGAGCATGTCCGTCTGTCCGTCTGTCCGTCTGTCTGTCCGTCTGTCTGTCCGTCTGTCTGTCTGTCCGTTTCTACGCGAACTAGTCTCTCAGTTTTGAAGCTATCGTCTTGAAACTTTGCACACACCCTTCTTTCCTTTGCACGCAGTATATAAGTCGGAACGGCCGGGATCGGCCGACTATATCCTATAGCTGCCATATAACTGATTGATCGGAACTGGTATAACTTTGGTGTTTTGAGAGTTAGAGAGTTCAAATTTGACATGAGAGCTATTTTTGGCAAAATAAAACGACATGTCAAATTTCATAAGGATCGGCCGACTATATCCTATAGCTGCCATATAACTGATTGATCGGAAATGACCCAACTTTCGTGTTTTTGAAGATAGAAAGCTGGAATTTGCAACAGATTATATCTTTGGTCAGTTAATCCGACCTACGAAATTTCATTAGGATCGGCCGACTATATCGTATAGCTGCCATATAACTGATTGATCGGAAATGACCCAACTTTCGTGTTTTTGAAGATAGAACGCTGAAATTTGCTACAGATTATATCTTTGGTCAGTTAATCCGACCTACGAAATTTCATTAGGATCGGCCGACTATATCCTATAGCTGCCATATAACTGAACGATTGGAAATGGTATTTGGTAGAAATATCAACTTTCGTATTTTTGAAGATAAAAGCTTGGGACTTTTTTTTAGATTTTTTATTGTAATTAATTGGTTTTATTATGATGTAATCATAAGGATCGGCCAACTATATCTGATGTTTGCGATATATATCCAGTTTTAACTGCAAGGGTATATAAACTTCGGCTCCGCCCGAAGTTAGCTTTCCTTTCTTGTTTTCTTTTCGTGTTGTGTGGTGGCAATTTGTTGAATTGAATGAAATCAGAAATGCATACAAAATAGTTAACAAAGTGTTTTATTGTTTGAACAGCCCGCCCGAGGGCATCAAATTCTCTGTCTCTGCCGCTTCGTATCCATACTTTTTTCTCAACATTTTTCAATATTTTTGTTATATCGCTCGTGTTTTGTGGGCCACTGCCACGGCTGTCAGTCAAATTGCAAAAAATATATAAATATTTTTGCTAAATAAAAAATGTTGCTTTGATTTGCACTTTTTTTTGTGTTTTGTTTGGAAATATATTTTTTTAATGGATTTCGTTTCGTTTGGGGGAGGGTAGGTTTTCAAATGAAAATTTATGCTTTACTTATTTACAAATAATAAGTAGATGTATATGTACGTGTATATGTATATATATATATAATGTATATTCGCTTATCCGATTTAAAGTGTATAATTTATATAATAAAGATTCTCATTTTCGTATTTGTTTGTTTCTTACTTGCTCATTATGGTTTTATTTTGTTCATTTAACGAGATTTTCTTTTCTATTCTTAAGATTTCTTAATTCGTTTTTGTTTTTTTTTAGCAAGCTTCTCTGATGTTCCGCTTTATATTTTGTGGCATTTGCTCTTAAACACTTGCTTACTACTTAAATTCATTTTGAAATTGTTTAAAATTAACTACAATTTAATTTAAGTTGCCGCTGCTGCTTATTTACTTTGCAATTCAAGTAAATATATACAAATTACACATGTATTTACATTTAAATCTTAGCTAAAAAATGTTCCGCATCGCATTTTCTCATCTTTTCTTCAATTTTCGTGTGTGTGTGTGTGCCATTGTCAAAAAGTTGCAAAAAACACAGTTGATAAGGGGTTAAAAAACACAACGCAATGCACAAACAAAACATTTATAATTTAACTCAATGGGTTAACATAACTTAATCAATCGTTTTCTAGATGACTTAACAGTAATTACAAATTAGTCGATAATTACAATTAAAATTTTGAATTTTCAACACAAAGCTCGAACGAACAAATGGAAAACAGAACAAACTTTTCAGTTAGGTGGTAAAAATTTTGTAAATTAATTTAAAGTTTTTCGATTGGAGGAATTGGGTTTTGTTTGCTTGTCGCTGTTCTATTTTTTAATTATTTGTAATAATTTTTAAAGTTGTCTGTGTTTTAGTTCTGTATCATAGTATAACTTACTTAAAGCCACATTTTCTTTTTTTCTCTTCAGATATATTTAAAAATGTAAAATTAAGTTAAGGTAAGTTTGTTTTTTTTTTTTCTTAATTTTTTGTGGCAGGTCGTACTGTTTATGTATGTTTTTTTGTTTTTTTATATTTTTTTGTATTTTATTTGAATTTTTTTTTATTTGGACTGTGCTAGGGCGGTTATTGCGAAAATATTGGCTATATCGGTGGAGATATAGCTCAGAGCCCTATTGAGAAGATCGCACAGAACCACTTCAAGAATCACTTAAGAGTTAATTAACCTTAGACTATGTGAAGTGTGAGATTTGTTTTTTGAAATTCCGCTCCTTTCAACATTTGATGCCTTAAAGTTTAAAGTTCGTTTGTTGCAACTGGGACCTAGATGACCTTTAATATAACCTACTTTTTAGCCCTATGGTACCTGGTAAATCGTAACATTTAGTGCTCGTCCAGTGATGCTTTTATCCGTGTGTGTATATCTTGTTTATTTTTCGTTCAGTTTTTTGTCAGTGGCGTGTTTGTGTCAACAAAGTGCTGAACTAGAGCGATGATAGATCGGAACTCTAATGCCTAGGGTATTATGGTATCTATGCGAATATCTCGTTCGTTGCCAATAAAACTCAACACACGTTCGTTCGTCGTCAAAAACCTCAAACCTAAGCTTACATCAAATTATTATTTATATTAAAAAAAAGTATTCAAAATGGCCACTTTTTAAAAAACCTCCTCCTTCTGCTTCCTCCAGTCAAGAAGGTAGCTGGAAGTCCGAGTAAATAAAATAAAAACAAAATATTAGATCCAGAAACGATGAATGAATGAGTACGATGATGATAATAATGGAATTTAGCGTGTGAGAGTGGTAGAATATTGGGTGTGCTGATCCGATAACTTCTCATTTCGAACTAGAATTTCCTAGACAATAATTTCGCGTATGACGCGACGGTTCCTGGCATTCGGCGTTGTCGAATATTCGCCCTCGAAGCTGTCGTCGTAGCTCAGGGACATGTGCTGCTGGGGCGGCAGGACCTCGTCCTGTTCCATGTGCTCCATGTTGTAGGGATTGGGCAGGCCGCTTACGTCGTGATATGGTGAATCTACACAAAACAGAGACAGAAGACAGAATGAGGGAAATTGTTTAAATTAGTTTACCAAAATGGGCGAAAAAGCGGCAAAGTCATGCTAAAACAATTAAAAACAAAATGCTAATCAAAACAAACACACGGCGAGTGTTTTCTAAGGGTGGCTGTTGTAGGTGGAGTGGTGCTGTTATGTTTCTGTGGCTTCTGTGGTCGGTGCTTATAGGCTCCACAAAAATTAAAGCAAACTTAAAACTGAAACTCGAAAAATTCTGCATCATCACAGTAATGGAATTCTTTTTTTTTTTTTAATTTTGTCCTTGTTTGACTTAAACTTACTTCAGCCTGCGCGCTCCGTTAGAGCGTAACATCCTGTATAATGTCCGCTATTTGATTTAAAATTTTAATTTTTTTTTTAAATTTTTACGATTAGGCAAGACATGTATGAGAATAATAGAGAAAAATAGCCAAAAGTTAGGGAATATTTTGCCAGCACTTAAAAATTGTCTAATGCTTAAGGTATAGCTTAAAATGAAATCAAACACACATATATCCACTCTCATCCTTGTGACACAAATCAATCAATTTCGCAATTTGACAAACGCAAGTTGTACGATTTATAGAAGCTTTTGGCAATTTAATTATCATTCGTTTGATTGAACGCATTTAACTGCACCCATCATTGTAGTTTATCGAAGCCTTAAATTGTCAGCTTAACCGGGTGGGGATTTTTTTGCGGCCCCAAAAGCAATTGTTTTAATTTACCAGTTGATTGCTCTCACTAACGAGTACCAATTCCGGCGCAGATTGCTGCAATTGCATCTGCAGCTGTGTTGTTCCCTGTCCAAAGGCCATCCCACTACAAATTGTAAACGAATTAGAGGCATTTTCTGGCATTTGGTTTGCGGAGCTGGGGTAGGGATCCTACCCCTTGTAAACAGGACATTAATTTATAATCAAAGGACAACCATTCTTCCCCGCACTCGGTCATCGGCCATCGGCACTCGGCACTTTGGCAAACATCTTTGTCTGCTACAAATTGTTGCATATTTAAGCGCATCCCCATCCCCATAGCCCATCGTCTATACTCGCCCCAACCCGCAGCTCCATCTCCACTTTCAATCCATGTCCGCAGCTCTTTTTGGCCATGCAAATCCGGCAAAGGATTCAACACTAACAACCTCCATGCACTCTCACACTTTCTCCCCAGCTTTTAGTTCCCTTCTTTCTTTTTTTTTGCCTTTGACTGGCTTTGCTATGCTTTGGATTGCTTTGTGTGCCAAATCGTTGGAAAATTTATTGGAATTTGAATTTCAAAATAAAAAAAATAAAAAAGGGACAAGGATGGGGAAAACGAAATCGCCGCATCAAATGCTTTTTTGGCCAAATACCAATGTGTGAATGTCTCACTTCTGAATGCACGGTAAATAAAATGATGGAATGGTTATCGGAATTAAATATAATTTTCTAGATTTAATAGGGTTTACTTTTTATAGTTCTTTACTAAAATCTCTTGCTAAACTTATTTAAATTTGTCTTAAGTCTTTTGAACTCTACAATTTATTTCTTGCCCTGTTCACAAATGTAAAACGTAAATCCTTTTTAACAACTGCTCTTTAACATATTCCGTCCCGTTCAACTGGCTGGCAACCATCAGACCTCCTCTTCCGTGGATTTTCCCCCGGATTCTTGGTCGTGTGAAAAATTCCAAAGCGCGTTTGTCGCCGTCGCCCCAACGCCTTTTCCTCCTTTTTTTTTATCCTGTGCCTTTCTTCACTCTCCACTTGCCACTCGCCACTCTACTCTTGGCATCTGCATAAACTTGACCCAAAAAGTAGAAAAAAAAAAAAAAAAGGGAAAGCCAGCCAGCCGAGAGCCAGGAGGAAAGCTGCAAAAGCCAATCCTTTTTTCCAACTATTTCCTTTCGTAGATTTTCAACTGTTCGAAGATTTGGCTCCTGTTTGGGTTCCTGGTCGCATTTTATGGCCAATACGTGAGCTGAGGATATTATGCGCATAACTTTATTGTGCCCCGCCTCCGCCCGGCTACATACACACACTAGTTTTTTCCTCAATGCCTGCTAGTGGTTTTTCATGCTGTTTTTCAATTTCCACTCAGTCTTTCGACTCTCAACTCTCTCTCAACAACTTAATCGTTTTTGCGTTAAGCATACGCACTGTTGGTCGCCACTTTCCACTCGCCTGTCTTTGCATGCAAATTTTTCCAGTGTCTGTGTGCGTGTTTTTCCTCCTAGGGAGAAGGGACATGTTTTTCTTTCACTTTTTTTTGTTTTAGCTAACCCTTTTGGTTTTCTGTTATTCTCTGGCCAAGTTTTTTTTTTTTTTTTGTTATGCTAAGCTCGTAATAACCCATTTTTTTTAGTAAATTTTCGGAATACGTCGAAAGTAAACAAATTGCAGATGAGTTTATCCCACCAACACAAACAAAGAGTAGAGACTCCCTGGGTTCAAAAATATAGAAGCCAAAACGCTTATCATTTGTTGCCTTTTGGCCACTGGCTTTCTACCATCTCCCATCTCCTCCACTCACAAATCCACTTAGTGTGTGTTTAGTGCTGTGGAGTGTGTTTCTCCTGGCCATGTAGTTTTTTTTTTGTTAGTCTGGAAGCTAGGAGCTCCTTTTCTTGTTGCAAAAATCCTGACTCATGTGATTTATGTGATTCCCTATTGCCAGCCAGCCGCCTTCACTTCATCCTTTGCAAGCATTTGGAATCCTTCCAGCTAGAGAAAGGGAAAGCGCAGCCAGAACACGATTCTTATGGCACTTTGAATAAACTTTCTTGGCATTTACTGCTTAGCCTAAAAGCAAACTGCATTGTAGGCTTCTCCTCCTTCAATATGAACATATTATCCAAGATAGTTTGGTCAAGGTTTTAAAGAAATTAATCAATTAGAAAACGATCCTGAAAGACTTTCACTTAATCCCTTAAATTGAAAGTTTTCCTTTCCGGACCGACCCATTTTCCGGCTTCAATTATGCTCTCTCTGCCCCAGGCATATGTCGCGTTGCTATAAATGCTCTGATATTAATCAAAATCGTTTATGTATATTCATGAAGTAGCAATTTGAATAATCTGCTAAAAGCCCGGGATAATCCTCGTCTTGTTCTTCATCTTGTGGTTGGCTTTCTCTTTTTTCCTCATTCCCTAATGATGAATTAAAGCCATTTTCTGGCTCCTGTCGTATGTCTGTGTGGATGTCTGTGTATGTTTGACAAAAGACCAAACAAAAGCGCTCAGCCAACTGACACAAAAGTCTGCATAATCAATCAGTCAGTATGTATGTCTGATGCCTCACGCCCTTTCCTACATACATATCCCCAATCCTATATGCTTTATACTGTGTAACCTTCTTTGCATGTTAACAGATGAGGAAAAAATTTGCTTACGCAGCTTTTTGGCGCCTGCCGCAGACTTCCTTCCGGCCATGGCCAGCACCTCTTCTGCAGGCCCTCCCAAAACCCTTCTGATTGCTCACTCACTACTATGCACTGTGGATAAAATTTAACTAGTTTGCTTTGTAATTTTTTCTAGAATTATTTAAACTTTTCTAAATATTTCTCTCAGTGCTTTAGATGCATTTTGCATAGCACAAAAGTCAGCTGAGGTTTGGTTGGCAGAGAGAGAGCAGCCAGGCGGTAGGCAGGCAGGGTGTGTGAGCCAAGAGGGGGTCTCAAATGTGAGTTTGGCAAGTGTAAAAGCTTTTAAACATACAAACACCGACAGGCACACACACACTCACACACAAGGCCACACAAACACACACACATTCAGTTGCAGTTGCAAGCTGTGCTTAAGCTGACATCAATGTAATGAAGATGTATTTGCATATTGTAGCACTGTCAATCTGCTGGGTTTCTCTTGCCACACATGCCACCCCAGCCTCACTGGCATCCTGCCACCCTGCCACCACTCTCCCTCTTTGCAACATTAACCCTCTCCAGATCTGAGCTGGCCTCGCTTTTAGTTTGCTTTGCTTTTGATGGCACTCAAGGGGGATGTATCTTCCATCTCGTAGCTGGATGTTTGGTGTAGCATCTTCGATATTTTTGTTGCATTTTATTGACATGACCGAATAGTTTCTGCATCCTGCATCCTGCATCCTCCCTTTGGCTTGGACAGCTGTTGTTATGCCGTTGGTTTTTGGCATTTCAAGTTGCAATCATTTTTTTCTCGCCCACCGCTGGCTGTTTTTTTGTGGGTTTTTGTTCGCTTGGGTTGTGCATTTCTTAGTTTTTGTAGAAAAAACAAATACACACACCCAGTAGCCTATTTTCCTCCTCTAAAATTTTTTGTTGTCTTGCGTTTAACCTCAGTAAACAAAGGCAAAAAAAAATATATATGTATGTATATAAAGAGGGGTAGTAGGAAATCGCCTCCAATGCTTTTTTTCGCTTCCCTTTTTTTATTGCATTTTATATGCACGCACCACAGCGCAAAGAAAGATGAAACACATAACGAAAACAGGCTAAAAAAAAAATGCCAGCTAACAATATTCAGGCAAAACAACAACAACAAACGCAACAGTACCATCCTGTGAGTCCTGCAAGTCCTGGGCAATAAAACCCCAAAAACAACAACCAGCTACCAAAAATGTATTTTTTTTTCGGGGTTTGGTGCTCATAAAGCGTAAAGATAACAGACACATACACACAAAGCTCATAGTTGTGGCCAACACCAACACACACATACAAACACAAAAGTAAGGGAATATTACGCATACGACCCATGGGCGCTTTACAGTCACCGCTGCTGTTGATCCAACTCAAAACTCTCACTGTGGCTGTTCATCTTGGGCTCTCTGGTTCGGTTCGGTTCGGTTCGCTTTTTATTATTTAATATTTTAAAACACTTGCGGTGTTATTGGCATTACAATAACAACGACAAACAAACACCAGCGGTTGCTCAACAAAAACAATATGAAAAGTTCAGGAATGTTTTTGTAAAAAAATTGCCGAAGAGTCAATACGCTTGTAAAATTCATTCAAAAGATATTCAAACAAAAGGGGAGGTTTCATTTATTAAAATAAATAAAATATAGATAATATTTTGAGACTTTTATATTTTTAAAAATAAATATATATTTCTCTTATAGTTTTTAAATATTAAAGTAACTCATCAAAGTGTATATAAATAATAAAACACACATAACAACATGGGCCATGCGGCAAAAATGGATTCCGCAAAAATTCGAACACACACTGTATACTGGATATACAGTCGAAGCGAAAAGTATACAGACAGACAGAAATACATAGACAATCCCAAAAACAAGCTGTGGATGCCAAAGGGCACAAACTTCCCCTTCCAGTTCACGTTCCAATTCTTGTTGATTTCGTTGCGGTTTGGTGCTGTGTTGTCTGCTTCAGTGAACTTAAAGCAAAACTCAGTAAATACTTTAAGCCAAGCCAAGAATGTTCGAACAGCATATTGCCTCAAAATATTATTTATTTGCGACATGTTCTCTTCGGGGGAGAACCCTCTGACCCCTCGGACAGTGTTTATAATTAGCATGGCAAAAAGGGCGCAGAAACATTTTAGATTTCGGCATTTAAGTGCTTAACTTGTCATAACTGAAAGCGAGCCAAAGCCCAAAATGCCAACAGAAATGTTGGGCCAACTTTTTTTTCAGTCAGTTGCCTTAGCCCAGTTTTTGACATAGGCCGCTCTACCAAAGACAGGAAGGACCTTACTCTTTTTCTGGAAAGTTTCTACGCCCCGATAGACTAGGGCATGATAGCACCACAGCTTAATGTGTCAGAAAATAGGAAACTTCTGAGGGGGTTCTCGGTCGGTTTTTGGTGCGTTTGGGGAAAGTTTATCAATCAAAATGAGGCAAAGTTGCTCTAACAAATCTGCAGTAATATTCTTCAGCTTGGCCTTATCCTACTTGAGGCATTTTGATGAAATTTGTTTACAAGCATTATTTCATTAGGAAATTGATTGATTTTCTTCTCCGTTTTTAAACATTCACTCCAAACTACCCTCTTAAATCCTTAACTTATTATCCTTTCGTAATGGATACTCACCTAAATGCTGGTCGACTCGCTTCTTCGGCTTCTGCACAGATGCATAGGGATCACTGCAGTAGTCCTGCCGGGACGGATTCTGGCTGTTGCGCAAATTATGGTACTCATCGCCCACCTGGCTGGGCGTGGCCGTGAGATGGGGATAGGGGGCATAGTCATCGACCGCCCCATAACCACCGTGGGTGAGAGGATCGTATCCGTAGGCGGGTTGCTGTTCCACATATTGATTCATTGGCGCCTGGACCAGACCCTGCTGGGCACCCACAGCCGCGGCCGACATTTTCACCTGCCACAACGAGTCCTGCGAGTTGACACTTCCGCCATTGTTCGAGTTCGAGTAGTTGTTCTCCATGTAGCCCATGTTGACCCCTGTAACAGACCAGAAACAGAAAAAAAACACATATGAACAGAATGGCAAATGATGAATGTGCCCTAGTAATTGTAAAGTGGCTTAAAGGGGCCTTAAATCAAAATATCATAAATATACATATTCCAACGTCAAGAGACTGCCATAGCAAAGGAAACTGTCCTTTGGCCAGCCAGAAACTTTGGCTCGTTGGCAGTAAAATAAAATTTAATTAAAATTAAGCCAAACTTTCACTAGGCTTCACAACAAAGTTGATATTCTCTCTTGGTTTTGGGCCGGATTTTTATTGATTAACACATAAAAATGACAGAGGCATTAAACGAATTTATTAACTGCCCCGAGGAACGAGCTCTCGTTGAGACAAGGCGTAATTAATAGTTCATCACATTGCGCATACGCCGTGTGCGCCACTTAAAATCTATCCGAGGGTCATAAACCCTCCAATGGAACACAGAATTCCACTTCGCCCCGCTTCTTTGGCGCTCTGTGTCCTTCAACTTTTTGACAAATTTTTATGGGATATCGGAGGTGGAGAAGCTCTTTGTCCTTTGCCTTGCCTTTGATGATTATTTTTATATCGTGATAAATCACTCATAAATATTAAACGCACGCTTGCCGACAACACACCGAAACTTTTTGAATTTTGACTCAAGTTTAGTCTCAACTGGTTAGCAGAAGAATGGCTTTTCAAAAATATAATTTCATGCCTTTTTCAGGATTTTTCAGGAAAGGAGTTTTAAAATAAATGTAAAAATTGATTCCTTAAATCCTTACAACAATTAAATATGAATAGAACTTTAGTTGCTAAAAGCATTGCCTATTTTTCAGTGCAAGGTCTCTTGTCACGCATGAAAAAGTATGCAATAAAATGGTTCGATTTTAGTGATTTTCCACAGATTGAGTTCCACTCTAGACAGTCCCCGAGAAATGTGAATTTTTATGACAAGTCTCGGCTTACTACTCGCGTGTCAGCGCAGCTGGAACTGGGAACTGGAAACTGCGAGTCGGGTTTAGGTTTAGGGCTACGTTTTTATGCCTCGTTTTGGTGGGCGTGATAATTTTTATGATTAGCCATAAAACTAAAACAGTAATAATATTAACTTCATTTACATTTCATGCGACCAACTTGGTCCCAGTTAATTTGCATATTTGCTTGAGTAATTTTATGCCTCAACATTCTGCTCCTTCTCGCTCTCATTGTTATTATTATTTTTATATATTTTCGAATTGCAGCGAAAAAAAAATACGAAAATATAACGACTGGATAGGAGGAGAGAAACTTTTCAATTTGATAAGCATCAAATCTTTTGCCAGCGACAACTTTTGATTGCTCAAGTTTGCCAAATATTTGACCGAAATAACAAAATACCCCATACCCGCGCCACGATGATGAAAATTTTAATGCATTTCCATTGTCTGGAGAGAGACCACCCCCCTCCCCTATTTCTGGTTTATTCTTATATTTATTTTTATTTTTTTGAAGCAATTAAAGTTTGTCAAAGTTTTGTGCATTGATTTGAGCAAATAACAACAACAGTTGCGGCATAGTTCTGGCCCAGTCAGTACCTCCCAAGGCCCTCCCCAAAACAGCTTATTAAACTCCCCACTCTCTAGTACAGTTTGCGTTGGAAAATCTTTTCATGTAAAAGTGCTGGGGCTGGTGGAAAGTTTTCCCTCCTAATTCACTCGACAAACTTTTCAACCGGAAGCGCTTACAATTATGCAACATTTTTGTGCAACAGCAGCAGCAGCAGCAGTAGGAAGTAGCAGCAGAAGGAGGCAGCGGCAGTCACACAATAAAAACAGTTTCAAATGCCATTAACGGTTAACTAAATAGCAGGGCAGCCTGCCTGGGCTCAGGAGGTTAAGGGGCATAACTTGTACTGCCTGCCTGCCGGTCTGGTCTGCCTCCTCACTTTTGCTCCCAGTTACTTGGCTTCCCACTCGAGGCAACTCATCTCAACTGAACTCAAGCCCAGTTCGGTGTTTGGGGTGTTAATGGCACCACCAACAGGGTTCAACCTTATCTGGGCTTTAATGTATGCACTGAGAATAAAATTTTAACTAAGATGTAAGTGGGATTTAAGTATGAGATTAATTTTCCCCAGTGTAGGCTCCTTTGCCTGCCTTGTTGCACTTTTAATTAGCGACGCGACTCGGAGTCTGCTTGCCAGGGCTCTCTGGCGTTTGGCCTAAATGCGTTTAAACTTAGGAGGCACAACAAGGGTCGGGCTATTTTTTGGGGGCATCTGCAACGAGGGCAGGGAAAGTGTGATCCTACAGCCGAGTTCCTGAACTTGCCGTGTTGCACTTTTCCGCTGCCACTTCCTCCGCCCAACTCTGGGCCTTTCTTTTGGCATTTCCCTTTCGCCGAAGTTGGCCCAAATGTTGAAAGCACTCACAGCTTCAGTTTCTTAGATTTTTGTTTTTTTTTTCCTTTGCTTTTTTGGTAATGAATGAAAAGCCTGCGGGGCGGACAAGAGTGAAGTGAAGTAACTTTGTTAAGGAAACTCCCACAGGAGTTCACCGTGTTGTTCCTGATCAGCTGGGCATGACAGAATTTTTCAGTTCAAGACAGAAAAGTTGAAAAGGTCTTAAACAAAGAGAGACCAGACCAGGCCAAGGGTATTGATGATTTTCATAATACCGTAAATGGGTTTTCCCCCTTTCATTTTCGAAGCATGTTTTCACTGTTGGCAACAGTGTTTAGATTTAAGCCAATTAGTTTGGTGAACTGCAAAAAAAAAAATACAAAAGCCAGCAAATTGGAACTCATAGATAGTGTCTTCGGAATGTTGTTGGTGGTCTGTGGTTTAGTTTGGTTTTGGGTTTGCTTTCGGTTTGGGGTTAGGTCAGTGGGTCTGGTCAGTTTGTCAGCTGGGCCAAGGCAGTCCTCCCACTCGTATAAGACAAACATGTCCAAAAGGGTGGCTGGTCCAGAAGGAAAGTCAAACATTAAACAGAAAAGCTTCCATAAATGGTCTTTTATTTCAGATTTAAAAAATAAAATATTAGTCCAAGATTTTAATGAAAATATTACTTATAAAAGGTCTTCTAAGTATTTTAGGATTATTTTTTTTCAAGTGTCCTAGTCAGCTTGCTCTTCAGTTAACGTTTCTAGGGCGCGTTAAACTATTTTGCGGCTATTTGCTTTTTGGGGGGCCGAAGCCCAAAACTGAATTGCATAGAAAATCGTCAGAGCTGGTATGGTAGTATTCCTATGGAAACACCCGTCGTTCGTCGAATAGGCGAACAGGCGAACCAGAAGAATCCCATCTAAACCAAAACCCAACTAAACCAGACCAGAGTTGAACATGGCAGACATTTGTTGGCCCGTCGCGCGGGTTCATGGCTTTATTTATTTAGCGCATAAATTTTGCCAAGCGCGAGATTCCTTCTGTTCTTTTTTTTCCATTTTTGTTGGCCTCCTCCCCCTCTCTAAAAACCATTTTTTCCACATTTTTATTTTCCATTTCTCTATTTTGGATGGTTGGTTGACTTTTCGGTGTATATGCGACGACATTTGTTTGCATTTATTTGGTTTTTGGAAAATTTTTCAGCTGCTTCAGCTGCTTGTTTTGTGTCCTGGAACATGTCCTGGCTGTCGTCTAGCCGTGGGCGTATTTTGTGGCCTCTGCCTCCTTGGACTTGATCCTTGGAGTGCAACAAACTTTAGCCAACTTTAATAACTATTTAAGAAAGGATTAACATTGCAAGGATTAAATTTCAACTTAATTTCCTTGCCAACCTCGTTTTTTTTTGCTCACCTTTGCCTTTATTGGCTGCACTCACTTCACTTGATTGTTTTTATTGTTGTCGCCGGTTTACATGCAAAGTTCATTAGGTTTTTGGCCTAGACCAGGAGGAGGTCTCCCCCTTTGGGGAGCGGAAGTTAAAGGGGCGGTGGCCCAAACTGGGTGGCCGTTAACGAGCCCGAAAAGTGCAGGCAACTGAAACAATGAAGCTACTGGCGCCCCTAACCCCCAGTAACTCTCAGTTGCAGACAGAAGTGTAAACGAAAGGAGCTTTACACAGAAAAAAATATGGTTTTAAAAGGATATTTCTGAAGGATAAGAAAACTTTAAATAACTAAAAATATTTATAGACTTTTGGGGCTATAAAAATTAATTCATTTTGCAGCTAAAATATTTTAAAGTTCTTTCAGTGTAAAACCGAGTCAGGACTAGAGCATCTGGCTAAGGACATTTCGGTGTGGCCTCGTGTGTTTCGACGACTCTTCGCTTGTGGCTGCCTGCTCCTTAAGCGGCAATTAGCGCTCACAATAAGCTGGAAGGGGGGTTGGCAGGGGAGAAATGGAGTTTCCTCTGTTCGTCCTGCAATTGCCAGCTCCTGCTCCTGCTACTCCTGCTGCAATCTTTATTATTCATGGCACTTTCACTTGGCAAATTAGCTGTTACTGCAACTCCCACTTTGTGCCACTTCCCCTTTTTCCACCGAAATCGTTTTTAAATGCAATTAAGTGGCAATGTTTGCCCCAAACCCAGGGACCCTTAACCCCTAAGGCCCAGACTAAGCGCCTTAAAATTTTTAATTGGCCTTCGAAAACAATTGAAACTCGAAATTGGCTCAAAAATAGCTGCCAATTGGGGGGCTAAAACCAAAAAAGAAATTACAATTTTCCAATGTCCAGTTATGGGCGAGGATGGAGGATGCTTCTATTACGTTTCATGTTCCTGGCCAAAAAGGAATTTTTAATTTGGACATCATTACAGAAAGGAGCTCGCTTCCCCTCAAAGGACACCACAACAATTAATAATGAATTGTATGGTGAATTGTGTGAAACCGCAGAGAGAACAAATGCTCGAGAGGATGGGGATCGTCCTTTTTGAACAGAAAGCTCTTCAGTCCGGTTTTACGCATTCATTTTGTGTGGCACACACCCTGACAACCCTGGTAGACTGAATGGAATCAGAAAGGGGGGCATACCCGGGCGCAGGGTTGGCGAAAGGACCTCTCAGGATGAATGGACGATGTACGCGACAGCGGGCACAACAACAATCGAAAATGGAAAGTATATTACAAAATACTACAAAACCAGTAACGTTTAGAAAAAATTGCTGTTTCAACAAATTTACAACGGAAGTGGAAAGTGCTTTCCCTTCAACACCCCCCTCATGCTCGTCCTCGTCCTTTCCAGGTGCGTGGGCGGATGGACAAAAAAAAAATAGAAAATAGAAAACGCGCTTGATGAATGTTCCACCATCTCCACCATCGATTTGCACTCAACTCCATTTTGCACTTTCCACCATTTTCAGGGGCAGCATAATTTTGCAACACCCCGCTCCACCCCACCCCCCTCTAAACGGTGGCAGGGATTTCATTTTGTGCGACTGTGCATGTCCTGCCGACAATGAAAAATCACCGCAGGTGCTTCTGTACCATTCAACAAAAAAAAAGGAATTAAAAGGACCAAAAAGGACATGTCCCAACCGGAAGTGTTTCTCACTTTGGTTTCAGGACCTTTTCGAGGGCAGATTTAAAAGTTTTGAAAGGATTCTGGTACTTACATTCATTTCCTGGCATTGGGGGCATCAGTCCATTGACGCCAACGCCACTGCCGCCGATTCCTCCCACGCCGACACCTCCGCCCACACCCATACCGCTAACCACACTGCCACCCACGCCGACTCCCACGCCTCCGCCTCCCAGACCCACGCCGACCACTCCACTGCCCGGGTGATAGCTGTAGCCGTTCTGGGCGGCATACAGAGCCGTCTTCTGCTCCTCCATGCTCAGGGCGAGATCCATCGAGTGCTCCAGGGCCTTGTTGTCCAGGCCAGAGGCGGGGTAGTACGGGGGCGGGGCCTGGTTCTGCTGGGCGGCCACGATGGAGGGCCGAACCGAGTCCATTTCGTAGTCCTTGGCGGCGGCGCTCTTCTTCGACTGGTTCTTCTTGCAGCGGCAGAACATCAGGATCAGGCCGGCGAAGAGGGCGAATACGATGCAGGACACGATGATGGCAATCAAGGTGGGCGTGGCCACACTGCTCTCCGCTATGAAAGGACCTCCAACTACAAAAAATTAGAGAAATAATTATTAGAATAGGTATCTTTTAAAATCGTATCCTTTGGAATTTAAGGAAACCCCTTCTTGAAACACACTTCGCAGCGCAATTCCCAACCAGAAAGAGATGAAATGAAGCCATGAAAAATGCATTACAAGGAGTTGAAGTGGATGGATGGATGGATAGAGGGATGGTTGGATGAATGGTTGGATAGATGGAGGAATGGATGCCTGAATGGATGAATGGCTTCGCTGTTTGAAAGATGGGTGGTAAGCTGGGTAAACAGCGAAGAGACCGCCGCGACCACTGCCACAGGACGCAGGATACGGGGAACTGGATGAGTGATTGATTGTCCAGGCAGCCAGGCTGCTGGTCATTCAAGTGGTGCAATTGCTCGTAATGGCTTTGCATATAATGGAAATCATCCTGCGAGCATTCCAGGCATCCTCCAAGCGCTCCTCTGCTATTTTTCCACCACTACCAGCTCCTTCTTGGGAAACTTTTATGAATTTCCGACCCAATACTCACCCTCGGCATCGGTATAGCCTCCACAGTGCTCCATGTTCGACCTCAGGCACAGCTTGACCCGCACGGTGGGCTTGTTCTCGTCCTCCAGGGCCAGGGTGTTCAGGCTGTTGTCCTCGTCGTCCGGATTGGGAAGACCCAGGGCCCGGCTTCCGGTCTGTCGGTTCAGTCCGTTCAGGCGATCAATTTCCTGATCCTTGTGGGTGGGTCCGTTTCCGGACAGTTGCAGTTGGTCCAGCGTGGCCACTACTTCCCAGGACGCCATCGGGGTGTTGGCATTCACCAGGGACTCCACCACGGCCACAAGGGACAGGCAGGTGGCGCCCACATCGATGCCCAGAATGCGGGTACTCGGCTGGTAGGTGACCTGGAGAGGCGGGGGAATTCTGCTGACCTTGGTGGTGACCAGGATCTCATTGGAGTAGGGTGATCCGCTCTTGGGGTTCAATGCCTTGACCTTGAAGGCGTAGCTCTGGTGCTGCTCCAGCGAGGTAACCTTGCAGGGAATGTCCCGCTGGCAGTCCACCTCCACCCAGTCGGAGTTCGAGTTGGCCAGAGTGGCGCAGTCGGGGATCAGTTGCTCCTCGCGGGGCATGGCCACACGGCGGTAGCTGACGAAGAACTTGGTCTTGCTCAAGCCGCCATCGAAGCCGGGGTCCCAGCTGAGGGTGACGTAGTTGTGGCCGACATCGATGGCCCGCAGGTTGGTGGGCTTCTCCGGCGGTCCCTTCTGCTGCAGCCGGATGGGAGCTCGGATCGTGTCCAGGGAGTTGACCACCCGGCAGGTGTACTCTCCGTAGTCCGAGTGGGTCAGCGAGTTGATTCTCAGGATGGAGGTGTAGATGTCGTTGTTGTCGGTGGTGGTGCTGATCTCGTAGTGTCCATCCGAGGACATGGTCAGGGGCGATGGGTTGTTGCCGAACTGCCACTGGAACTCCGGCTTCGGGTAGGCCTGCACCTTGCAGACCACCTCGGCGGTCTCCCGGATGTCGAAGGCCACCTTATTGTACTGGTGGAGGACGATGGGCTCGTGCTCGATCCTCAGCTGCATGGACGAGTTGGCAGAGTTGACTTCGTTCTGGTAGAGGCAGGTGTACAGGCCGCGATCCCCGGGCACCAGGGCGTTGCCGTTAGGACGGGCCTTGCCGCGGAACTTCAACTGACTCTGGACGGTGACCATGCCGTTGAGGCCCTGGTCGGGATTGGTCTGCACCTCGTACAGGTTCTGGTCGGGCTGGATCTCGACGCCGTCCTTCAGCCACTTGACACTCGGCGCCGGCTTGCCCTTGGCGCTGCAGGTCACTGTGTAGTCGGTGTCTCCCACTCGGCGGGTCATGTGCTGCTGCAGCTTGGCCAGGAACTGGGGCGGCTGGTGGATCTCCAGGACAATGGTGGCCATCATGCCAATGCCCAGCTCGTTCACGGCGTGGCAGTGGTACTTGCCCTCGTTGCCCAGGTGGGCTTTGGGAATGGAATACTGGGGTCCCTGGGCCAGGATCTTCTGGGTGCTGGAGAACTCGCCGTCCATGTCGCGGAACCATCTGTACTGCGGCACCGGCCATCCCGGCGGGTTGGCCGAGCAGGTGAGGGTCACTCCGTTGCCCACATGCACCACAGGACGATTGGGGGTGATGTAAGCCTGGCCCGGACGATGTCGCACCAGCAGAGCCACCGTGGAGTTGCCGACGCGCTCACTCCTCTCCTGGCCCTGACTGTGCATCCAGTTGACGGCCCGGCAGACGTACGTTCCGGCATGTTCCGCCCGCACGGAATTCAGGGTGAGCACATCGCCGCTGAATCGGAAGTCGGGGGCGCCTTCTTTCAGCCATTCAATGGTCACGGGCGAGGGATTGGCGGTCACATTGCAGCGAATGGTCACGGTTTCGCCCTCCTCGGCCTCGCGGGTCTTCGACTCGATGACCACCGTCGGCGGATAGAGAACGTCCAGGATGAGCTCCTGCTCTCCGGTCTTGCCCAGGCCATTGTCCGCACTGCAGGTATACTTGCCGGCATCCTGCACCGACACCCGATGAATGGTATGAACCAGCGAGGAGCTGATGAAGCGACCGTTTCGTGTCCAACGGACATTCGGCACCTTGGGCTTGGCATCCACGTTACACTCCAGCTTGGCAGTCCGGTCACGTTCCACCCGCAAAGGATTCTCGGGGCCAACCTCGACGCGGGGATAATCTGGCGAAGAGAAACATGGAAAATTAGTCTAGTCACAGAGCTTGGAATCAAAGCGAAACCGCAGCAAAAAAAAATCAAGAAAATTAATAAACACGCAGCATTTTTGGCATAATCAGGCGGCATAATCCAAAACTTCTAATTGAATTAATTTAGGGGGAAGGATGGGACCAGCTGAAGAGCTGGTCATGATTAGTCTGCCAGCACGCCGTCTGATTAGACACGAAATTTGTCAATTATTAATTAAACTAATGAAGTGTCTGAAGGTCGGTGGGTCTTAGGGTCATTAGCAGCAACAGGGTTAATTGGTAGATGAAAGAACTGGATGCCTGGATGTTTTATAATTATTTTAAATCAAAATTTTCGGAAATATATATTAGTTTTAATGGAGGATACTTTTTTTCTCCACTTGAAAGGAATTCATCTTAAACTTAGTTTCTGTCTTCAACTTGGACTGCAAGTCATAGTCTAACATTAGTGGCCTCTTATGCACCGCAAATGGCGTGAAATTATGACCAGCAGAGCCCTGGCCCTGGCAGAGCTCCCTCCTTCAAGTTGCCCTGGCCACAACCACTTTGTAATTAACTGCCCCCTGGATAAGTGTCGCCAGCTGCCTAATGACTTTGCTCATAAACTCACAGTCCCGACCATTGACAGCCACCAGAGAAGTATAAGAACTTTAGTTGCCGCAATCTCAAGAAACTGGAGCAACTCTTTCCCCTCTAAACCCCTCTACCCCTCTACCTTCTGCCCATTACACAATCTCCTTCTGCAAATTATAGTAAATTGCGTGATTCTCTCTCTTGGCTACCTTTTACAAAAGGTCTGTGTTGTGCGGGTTCAGGTGTCTCAATCTTACACTGCAAGATATAACTAAGAGCTTATAGAATGCTTATACATTGGTTGATATTTTTGTTTAATATCTCTCTTTTTTTTCCTCTCAGTGTACCTGTATATTGAAGTTAAATTCTCAGTCTTGGACTCGCGTCTTTTGCGTGTTTATGTGCGTGTAATTACATTTGATTGTCTGGCTTTGTTGCCGGCGACCATTAAAGCATTGTTTGGTTAGAAATCAAGACCTCCTTCTGTACCCATTTTGTTTCGTTCTGTCGGCCATATACTTCAACTTTTGTATAGTTTCAGTTTCAGTTGCCATAACTGCTTCTACTGGGCGGACTTTTGTTTGCGTTTCAAGTTGCTTGCCCGTTAAATGGCTTCAAATTGGCTTAATTGTCACTTTGCGAACATGTTTTACACATTTGGGCCAGGCCGGGCCGGGCCAGAGTCGTTCTGCATTGCATTCCTGCCATTTTTCCCCACTACTGGAGGTAGTGACCTAAAAATAGGCCCCTTCATTCCCTTGATTACTTTAAAATGGAGCCCTGGAAGTGAAGTTCCCTCAATTATTTCCACAGCCGGCAGCTTCGTGTTCATAAATAATGAAAACCCCCCCGCTACAAAGACTGGCGGCTAGTGGATGGAAGGGCCACAATTTTATGCGTGTTTTGCATATAAATTTCTTGCTCAACGCTCTCGGACATGCTCCTTAAATTATGTACGCAAATAATTGAATTAGTTTACAGGATCACCAAAAAAAAAAAAAGTAGAAGAAGGAGGGTGGAAATAAGGAGACCTCTGCAAATCGTGTTAGAAATATTTTTCCAATCAATTGCCAAATTGTTGCCAGGTTTCTGCTCTCCGACCACCATTCCCCATCCTCCAGCAATTACTTCAGTATCCTGTCCCCAACCATTCGCTTGGAAAATACTATTAACAAATACAAAGACCCTTGCCGAACAAAAAATTGAAAAAAGGACCAATGGAAAAAAATCTCGTTGGGTTTAGATGCCCACGCAGAATAAGAAAATGTTAAAAATTTAGTTTAGATCTGGGCATGTGACGGCAATTTATATGGCTAATCCGAGGGGCACCTTCACGACAAGGTCTAATGCAATTTATCGAAGGATTTTCCAAGGCAATTAGTCTTAAACTTAACTGGTGCTTTAATTTAAGAAGACTTTAAGAGCCAAACAAATCTAACTATCAAAGGAGAAATAAAATTAGAGCAAACAGCAGTGGCTAATATTAATTTTAATTTTAATTACCGAATGGCGAGGCCAAAAAAAGGAGAAGGAACAAAATCCATTAAAAATAATCGACTGAGCTTTAACTCCCTGAATGGTCGTTGCTTAACTTGGCTAAATCCAATTTTGATGTGTGTGGGAGGGAGGAGGAGGAGGAGGAGGAGGAGGAGGTGGTGGCGGGTTGCGGGTCAGGCACGCGCTGAGCCACAGGCCACAGAAGCCAAGACAGCAAGGCAGAAGCAAAAGCGATTTGATATGACCAGCAAGCACCCAAAACCAAAACGAAAACCCGAATGAACAACTCGTCCTTGTGCCACCCACCACCCTCTCTAGACTTCAAGACACGCGAAATTGGCAGGCCAGAAAACATTTGGCCCGAGGTCCAAGATAAATGATAAGGCGCCTAAAAGACTTATCCCTCCTCCTAGCCAGATAGCTTCTCCTACTCATCCTTGGGCCTTTCTATTCGTAACTAATGAACGTCAAGTTTAAAAAGATACACAAATTTTCCAGCAGCCATCATCCATAAATTTTAGAGAAAGAGGAATTGGGGAATAGATATAGTCCCTGGCCAGGCAATTAATGATTAAATTTAAACTTTAAACCAAATGCCATTAGCCATATCGATAGTGTTTCCTATTCCAATCAGAGTCCTATCAACTGGCATCTCTACTCCGTTCTTTCACTTATCTCCTGGCTGGTCTCTTGCTTTTCTTCTGTTGAACAGTTGTGGCATCATCAAGTTTATGTTGCCATGATTTTCATCATCTACTAAATGTTTTTCTTTGGCCTTTCAAGTTTTTCTTGTTTCCAAGCTGCTGCTGCTGCTGCCTACATATGGACCACCAACTTCCAAAGGTTCTACCCAGCAGCCACATCCACTGGACTAGGACTAGGAGGACTTGGCATTCTCATCTTTGCCATCTCCTTCGGCCAGATGGTTTGCTTTTGTAACTTGTTAGTTTTCTTTAGTGGCCCTACACACGGGTTTCTTTACATCAGACAGTTGTGGTCACAAGATTAGTAATGGCTTTGATTTTAAATCAATTTTAATTTAATTTTGAGGGTAATTTTTACTTAAATCTTAGTCAGAACTATAAGAGTTTTAATTAATATTAAGTCTACTTGTTCCTATTATTTTATCATCTTTTGTAGTTCGTATAGATACGCTTGTTCCCTGTCTTGTTTTGCTATTAAGTCAAGAATTTTTATAGCATTTAGTTGGAAAAGCTCCACATACATACATTCAGCCCACTCCCTTGCTCGCAGCTCTCAGCTCACAGTTCCAAGTTCTAGATCCCATTCCCTCCTCAAGTGGAGATACGTACGCATAACTCGTGCCTGCTGTCAGCGCGTTTGAGCTATGAGCTCTTGTGGCTTCTGCTTTGGCTTTTTATTAGTTTCTTGTTTGGTTTTGCCCCTGCCACATGCCCCTGCCCCATTGCCATTTCTATTCCTTGGCCCGTGAGTGGTTTTTCGGGTCTGACCATCAGCAGTACCGACCATTTCTGGCTAACTAGTTACTAAATTGAGCGCATAAACTAAAACAACTGCGGCACAGGCACACAGTTCTGGACATGGGAAGAAAAAAACAAGAATAGCAATAGCAATGGCCAAGACTGAGGAAACCAGTTGGCCACTGCTCATAAATTACAGGAAGACATATTCAACGGAGACAAATAAACAACCATCCCGGTCTCCAGTCCGGGCCTTCCTTGAATTCATCCTCATCCTCTCTTAGCCGGACAGTATTTAGCAACCACATTAAGTCGGGTAACAAGAAAATCATTTAATTGAACAGCTCTAACCAGTTCCAGATAAAGAGGTTCTCCAGATACTTAGAAGCTGTGAATATACATGGCCAGATACTTTTCCATAAAAACTCGATAAAGGAAGTTGACAACATTAGGAAAGCCATGACAATTAGTTGGCAAGACTTAGAATAAAATATAATCATAAAAAACTCAAGACACAAGTGTCAATGTATCTGGCCAATCTATTCTACTAAGAACGTGCCTAAAAAACATATACATCCCAGAATCTGGATCCATAAAACCAAAAACTCAAAAAACGTGCCTGAAAAAGCAAAACTTTTCTGTATGTTATCCAAAGTGGAAACACTTTAAAGCGATCACGAACTGGATCAAAGAGAAGCAACACACCAGAAAAGATATAAAGATACTGAGTATTTTTTCAGGAAAAAATATTTAAGGCTTTGTTGTTTCAGGTTTTTGTGTGCCATGTCATTTTCCGGGGAAAAGGAAAATCTCTACCCTCTCTAGAGTAGAGATGTGTCTCATCCTCAATTGAATTCACAAATGAAATGTGCAAAAAGCTTTTTAGACAAAAAATAACCAAGAGCAATAGCAATAAGAGAGCAAAACCAACTGATAAACGGACAAATGTTTATTGTACTAAAAATTTTATTGGCCACACATGCAGATACTAGATACTAGGATACAGAGGAGGATACAGAGGAGGCTATACAGAGGCCTACATATACATTGGAGTACATATGTATCTGACAATGGTTGGCCATAAAACGGAATCAAATTGTGCCGACCAAAGCAAATGTTTGGTCAAAAACACACATACCAGAGACCGGCAACCAGAATGCCAGACAAAAATTGTTGAGAAAAATCAAGCAAAAGATTTAATAAATTTTGCCGCATATATGAAGAATGAATTTTATGGACATGCCCTGCTCCTCCGTCCCCCGAAAAAAAACATATTGATATACTACTACTACCGCTTTCGAGAGTCGTGCTGCAAATGAACGTGTAAACAAACAGATGTATCTGTGCAAGGGCCAGATACAAATGAACAAACACAACATAATTGGGCTTCCCTCCCGTACCCACCATCTTATAATATTCTCATCTGTCCAGTTTTCGGTCGGTTTTCAGTTTATTTTTATGG